AAATGAATTTGTTAATCCCCTTTTGCCATTCCTCCAGATTAGCATCTTTTTTCAAAATAGGTATCATCTGAAATAAAAAAAGAAAGTTTGGAAGTATATTCATTTTAACTGCCGAGATTCTCCTCAACAAAGATAATTGTAATTTTTTCCAATCATTTAAGTCCTTTTGCACTTTTACCCATGATGTCTCATAGTTATTTTTATACAATTTAACATTAGAAGCTGTTATACATACTCCTAAATATTTAACCTTTCTCACTATTTCAAAACCTGTTAATTTAACCATAATATCCTTTTCCTTCATAGACATATTTTTCGATAATATTTTAGTATTATTATTTACCTTAAAACCAGAAACCTCTCCGTACTGAATTAAAATTTCAACCAAATCCCTAACCGAATCTGTCGGTTGAGATAATGTCACAACCAAATCATTGGCAAAAGCTCTCAACCTATAATCATTCTTATTTATTTTTATTCCCTTTATACAAGGTGACTCCCGAATTTTGATAAGTAAAATCTCCATTGTTAAAACAAATAACAATGGTGATAAAGGACATCCCTGTCTTGTACCCTTTTCAATTTTAAATGCTTCTGTTAATCCCCCATTAACTATGATTTGTGCAGATTGTTGTTGATATATAGCCTTAAGGGCAGATAAAAATTTATCTCCAAAATTCATTTCCTCTACTACTCTGAATAAGAATTGCCAATCTAATTGATCAAAAGCTTTTTCAGCATCTAAAAAAATCAAAGCCGCGGGAATTTGATTGTTCTTGTCTAAATACTCAATTAGATTAACAATTTGTCTAACATTATATTTCATATATCTTCCAGTTATAAATCCAGATTGATCACTATGAATCAATTGCTTCAAAACTCGCATTAATCTATTTGCCAATATTTTTGAAAAAAATCTTATAATCTGTATTCAAAAGAGATATAGGCCTATAATTTTTGGGCTGGGTCAAATCTTGGTCCTCCTTTGGAACCAATGATATAAAAGCCCTTCTCCATGATGGAGGTACCTCTGCTCCCAACAAAATACTGTTAAAAAGTTCCTTCAATGGTTCTATCATTTCTTCAGATAACATTTTATAGTAAATTGCTGTTAATCCATCTGTACCTGGAGCCTTACCAACTTTTAATTGTTTAATTGCCCAAACAATCTCTTCAGAAGTAATTAAACCATTAATCTCATCTCTTTGATCAATAATAAGTTTAGGAAAATGTGATTCCTGTAAGTATTTTTCTATATCTGAAACTTGTATGCTTTCACTAGCATATAACTTTGAATAAAAATCTAAAAAACTCCTTTTAATCAAATTTTGTTGATAAACTTCTTTACCTTTATAGTTTATTTTCTCTATAATCCTTGATTTCTGTTTCTTTCGTAGTTGGTAAGCCAACCACCTACCAGGTTTGTTTGCATTGCAAAATATATTATGTTTCATATACCTCAAATTAATTGCAATCTGATCAGCTATTAACATATTAAATTGCTCCTTAAGCAAGATAATAGAAGCCTTTAAATTATTGTCCAATGGATTTCATGTAAGAGCCTTTTCCTTAGATTTAATCTCTACTTCCAACTCTTTATGTTTCTGCATCCGTTTGCGTCTATGTGCATTATTCATATGAATCAAGACCCCTCTCATATATGCTTTACTGGCATCCCATACCATTGGCATCGAAGTACCCTTATGCATATTCAAAAGAAAAAATCCCTTTAAATCAGTGGTTCTCAACCTTTTTAATGCCGCGACTCCCAACCGGTTGTAAGTCGAGGACTACTCAACTGGTGCAGCACTGTTTGCAGAATGGGACTTTTGGCAGGCTCAGCAGGGCAGAGACAGCCTGGACAATTCCTACTGGCTTTTGAAAGCCAATAGAATTAGACTCTATTCTATTGGCTTTCAAAAGCCAAAAGAATAAAAGGGAGTAGCACAGCTAAGGAAAAAGAGAAAAAAATGGCGGACTGCGTTGTTTGGCGACCCCCATGAAATGGTCGTTCAACCCCAAATGGGGTCCCGACCCACAGTTTGAGAACCACTGCTTTAAATAATCTCTACATCTCTGTACATTCCCCTCATATCTAAATAAATTTTCATTCAATCTCCAAGTCCTTCTATTCCCATCTCCAGTAGATAACTCCATCCATACAGGACTATGGTCTAACAATATTCTGGGGACTATCTTAGCATTCTTCACCCTAGAAAAAAGATCATTAGTAATTTAAAAAAAGTCAATTCTGGAGTACGACTGATGCCTGTCCGAAAAAAAGGTAAAATCTCTTTCTTCCATATTTCGTTCATGCCAAATGTCTCTAAGTTCCAAATCATCCTTTAAATAAATAAAAAAAACTTTAGGTAAATTTGCATGATTAGGAGATTTAAAAGAACCCTTCTTGTCTTTGCTTGAATCTAAAATACCATTCCAATCTCCCATCATAATTACTGATTTGTAATCCAATTGAATTATTTTCTGATGTATCAATTTATAAAAATATTTTTGTTGCTGATTAGGAGCATATAGTCCAATGACAAGACTTCTCTTGGCATTTAATAATAATTTAATAATAACATATCTTCCTTGTGGATCAGAATCAATTAACTTCGGTGATAAGTCTTTCCTCACATAAATGACTACTCCTGCTTTTTTCTTCGGAGCAGAGGCTGTAAAGTGTATTCCCAGCCGGGAATTAATCAAATATTTTTCATCCTTTAAAGCAATATGAGTCTCTTCCAAACATATAACATCATTCTTATGTTGTTTCAAGTAGTAAAATACTTTCTTTTCTGTGGTGAATTCAAGCCATTAACATTCCATGTCAGGAACTTTGCCATCTCTAGTGGCTTGAAGCCTTTGGAACACTGCATCTAAATCTGCAGTTGATGACCTCTTCGGTCTTGTTCCTCCCACTGGCTCAGAGGTAGCCACCTGTAATTGTAATTACAATTGTAATTCCAGCATCTACCTTTTGTTGTTCTTTTTCTCTACGTTTATGGGCTGCACGAGTCTTCTCTGTTCCCTTGGATCTTCTCTTATCTCCAAACACTGCTGCATAGATTCAACCAACAACTCTTCTCCTACTAATGGCATTGATCCTGCATCCAACTGTCCTTCAGACTTACTTTCATTTCTTCTAGATCTTGGAGATGGTGGTGCACCTGCCTTCAGAACAGAAACATAAAAATCTCTTGCTTTTAAAATTGTATTAAGTCTATAATGTGTTCCAACATAATTCACCACTATGCCAACAGGTACATCCCATCTAAATTGAATCTGTCGTTTCTTAAGCTCCTCAGCCAAAAAAGCAAAGTCCTTTCTTCTTCTAAGAATTTTTGGAGGTATTTCTTTTAAAATTATAACATCTTGAGCTGCAATTTGAAATCTTTGCTTATAAAAAGCCTGTATAATTTCATTACGAAGTGATCTCCTGGAAAAATAAATGACCACATCTCTTGGTAAATTTCTCTGCTTCGCAATCCATGAATTAACTCTAAAGGTTTTTTCTATATCTCTCAGCATTTCTTCAAATCCACATCCCAAAATGGATGCTAATTCTGCTGCAGTCTCTTCTTTCAAATTCTCTTGCACATTCTCCTTCAACCCTCTTATTCTCAAAGCAAACTCCATATCTCTGTATTGTGACATTATAATTTCATTCTGTGCTGCATCCACATTATTTTCAACTCTTTCAACTCTTCCTTCTAATCTTTCAACATTTCCAACCACCTCATCCACCCTATCATCCAGGCGTTCTATGTGGGCCGCAAGCCCCTGAAGAGCCAGCACAATATCTTCCCTCATCTGATGATTTTTCTGCTCCAAAAGTTCTGCTGTCTCCAACTTAATCTTTTGCACAGTTTTCTCCAAAGCATCCTGTACAACATTCTCTACAACATTCTGTATATCTTTAAGTGTGAGTACTTGAGATGGGGGAGAGGGTGGAGGAGACTTAAGCTTAGGTTGCTGTATAGTCTGTGTTACTGGAGAGGGAATTGAAACTTTAGAAAGAGAAGAAATTCCATGGCGTTTTGAAGCCATTTTAAAAAACAAGAGATGAGAAAAAAAAGAAGAAAAAAAAGAAAAAAACCACTTCTTATAACAAAATAAAATAAAGGGGTAATAAAAACAACTCCCCTTACTCAAAAAAGAGAAAAACTCTTTAACTAAGCAAAGTCTGTTACATTATTGAAACTTTGTTGCCAAGTAAAAGTCCTCAAACAAAGAAACAGGATTCCTCCGCCATTTTTCCTTTCACTCCAATCGTTAAAATAATAGTTGGAGAAGACAATATTTCTTTCTTGAGTTAAAGTTAAAATTCAGCACAGTTCTGATCCTCCTGAACAACTCTGTCTGCTTTAAATTTTACTTACAGTTCTTCTTATGTAGCAGATGTGGAAGCAGCGTCTAGCTTCGTTCTCCGCTGGAGAACAAAGGCATCTTGATATGCGGAGTTATTCCAGACTCCAAAGGAGCTCTCACCTTTCGTCTCCCCAAAAATAATCTCTGGGAGACTAGAGGAGCTCGACTTCTATCCGGGAAAAAACTCACCTTCTTTCCTTTGCCCGGGAAGAAAGTTCCAAGCCACAAAACAGCTGATAGTCGCTGTCTTGCTGGCTCTTACACAATCCCGAGATGGGCGGCTAAAAAAAAAGCCGCCATTGACGCGGCAAATGCCACCGGAAGTCCACCATATCATGATTTCTGTTATGCCTTTCAATGATTAGCTTTTAATTATGGTTTCTTGAAAAGGCCAATGTGATTGGTCTCACATTACACACTAATCCAGAAGAAGACTTAGTTTTATGTGAGAACCTGGCCAAACTGTGCTCATGTGAACTCATGTCAGAGCCCTAAGGTCCTTCTTAGCTCTGCAGACTCTCAAATGAGTTACTACAAAATTAGTTCTGGAGCACAGCTGAAGACCAAATCATGCAAATTTAAAGGGTTCAGTGTTGCCTATTTATTATTTCGCTACATTTTCCCCACAGGTGCAAAATGCCAGTAATTTGTTGATCAAGCCTCTGGAAAAATTCCGTAAGGAGCAAATTGGATTCACCAAAGTAAGTTTTGGGTCTTTTGCCCCCATTTTACTTATAGCATAACTGTATTAAGATGGGGCTGATGTGATTCTTTTGTGTGATTCTCAATACTCATTCAAAATATCTCTAGCCAGTTCCTAAAAAGAAATAAATTGCAGAGCAGTGTCTTGGATAGCTACATTTATTAATAGTTATGTATTTTTATAATTTTAAAAATTATGATGATGTTATAACTTTGCTCTTTCTATATTGTGAGAATATGCAGATCCTGTGCGAAGACTGTGAATATTGTAAAAATAGCTGAATAAGTGCTAATATCTTTGCATTTGCCTTCTGGGAAGTCACAGAACTAACCCTCACATTTGGTTATTTGTTAAATGCCACTTCTTACTTTGTTGAGAGTGAGTTTCTCATTTTAAGGAGCTCCTTGGAGGTGAGGGATCTTTTCCACTTTCAGCCTCTCCGTTTGGGCCAGCTTGACCCACGGACACTTGCAGAGGCGGATCCCCTTCCTAGAACCCAGACAAGCAGCTCAGCTTTGCTGGATTTCGGGGTGAGAAAGAAGTACAAAGGCCTCCTTCTCTCTCTTGGGGTACCTTATTGTTTATTCCTTTTTAGTTTGGGGGCAAGGCAGAGTGGCATGGCATGACTCCTGCAATGTCTAGAAAAACAGGAGATGGTGATGGAAAGGGGCAGCAGCAGTCTGTAAATAGGCGGACGGGGGAGATGACGGAAAGGGGGGAATGAAGCAAAACTTAGTTCCAAGAATTTGCAGTCCAGAAAATTCCTTTTTTTTTTTTTTACCAGAATTAAACATGGCCATAAATAAGACCTTCTTGTGAACATTTTACAAATGACATTTTAAAAATTATTGATAGTTCCATTCTTGGTGCAGCAAAATGCTTTCCAAAGGTCCATAATAATTAATTGACCTGGATGTGGTGGAACTCCTAGTGGTTTCTCAAAGTTTCTCCCTCTTTCATTGCTACTCAGAACACTGCTCGATTTTGGAAGAAAATAAATGTGGGAACGGTCTGGCTAAAGAATGGCTTTAAGGGGGTGTTCCATTTAAAATGAATTCTACATCTCTCTCCCTGAAGAACATCTATTTGGGTTAAATCAAACCCAGACATACTTTTTACTAAAAATAATTGTGATTGAATCTCCCCAGTGTGTGAAAAAATTGTGATGGAGGTAAGTAAAATAACCTTCCTGGTTAATAATTCCTCTGGCTGACCCCGGCACATGCTGGATGCCCCCTTTTCTGAACCGATTTCTCCCTACTTTATGGCTCTGGCTCCATTCCTTTGGGGTTTTTTTTGGGGGGGGGAGATTTTCTATATAAGGCTCCCTTTTTAGTAGGACAGTCCTTGGCGTTGAAGGCAGCCTACTCCTCTTGTGGTCCAACGCTTGGGGAGGGGGTGGTTAGCTCAGCAGCTTCCTGTGGTCAGCTGGCGTGGGTGATTCACGAATGCTGCATTTTTAAAAAGAGGATCTGATTTGCAGAATTTATCTATTTAGTCATATGGCATAGAGGTTAAAATGCCCAGGTTAAGAATGTCAGGCTTAAGAACAACCTCTAGATGCAATTGGCATTTTCCTTCCTTGAGCCAACAAACTGCTGAAAAATGCTTTCAGCCGTGCATTTTTAATATTCAGCTGGTTTTCATCAGTTTCGTTCAAGGAAAGGCAACCAGAGCAATAGGTAGCCCACTTACAAATACAAGTTCCACCTAAAGTCCAAATTCGGGCTAAAGGCAGAGTTAGGAATGGAACTCATGCTGAAGCATAGGCCGGCCTCTACGCCCCTCCACCACCAGCCCCAGAGGTTTGGCTCGTGGCCGAAAGGTCGAGAAAAAGTGAAGAACATCTGTGTTTGTTCCCTTCTAAACTTGTGAATCAGCGTCATGGGTATCGTTATAGTGTTCTTCCTATAGGGACTCCTGATAGTTATTCAAAAAATGTGAAGAAGTCTGGTAGCATCTTTTCTGACTAACAAAAGTCATAAGCTTTTGTGAGCAATAGCTCATGTCATCAGAGGTATCGTTGGCAATATTGTTTTAAATTCAGGGTCAGTCTGAGGAAATGCACTCACAAAAGCTTTTAATAAAACATTTTGGCGTGAACAGATGAACAGACTCCTGATTCTTGGCTACCACGGACTAGTACGGCTCTCTCCTGATTCATAATATTTCTTTTAAGCAAATACTGAGGTAGAGCAGTTATCTGCTTCCTTTTATCAGATTAAAACCTAGATATTCTTTAGATAGCAAAATTCATCCCTGGGATTTATTTTTAATAAATAGCTTTATCAGATAGCTGCTTGTGAAATGAAAATATAATGATATATTACGCATATTTGCTATGTGATTATGGCAAGCATAACCTGTAGCAGAAAAAGTATTTTATTTCAAGGAGTGATGAGAAACCTCTGGGCCATTTTGGGACACCAACAGAGTTTTGATCACGAGAGTTATATGTGTGATAATGACACTCATTTTTCTTTGGAGAAACTTTTACTCTGAAAATTGGTGGTAAATTGCAAAGTTTGTACCAAAGCTGAGATCATGACTTTACATCAGCTGTGTCTATGCCTTTTTATTTGATGGAATCCATGTCAGAATTAAAACATGTACAGTGAGGGAAAAATTATTTGATCCCTGTTGATTTTGTACATTTGCCCACTGACAAAAAATGATCAGTCTATCATTTTAATGGTAGGTTTATTGTAACAGAGAGAGACAGAATAACAACAAAAATATCCAGAAAAATGCATTTCAAAAAAGTTATCAGTTGATTTGCATTTTAATGAGTGAAAGAAGTATTTGACCCCTTTGCAAAACATGACTTAGTACTTGGTGGCAAAACCCTTGTTGGCAATCACAGAGGTCAGATGTTGCTTGTAGTTGGCCACCAGGTTTGCACACATCCCCAGAGGATTTTGTCCCACTCCTCTTTGCAGATCCTCTCCAAGTCATGAAGGTTTTGAGGCTGACATGTGGCAACTCGAACCTGCAGCTCTCTCCACAGATTTTCTATGGGATTAAGGTTTGGAGACTGGCTAGGCCACTCCAGGACCTTAATGTGCTCTTCTTGAGCCACTCCTTTGTTGACTTGGCCGTGTGTTGTGGGTCATTGTCATGCTGGAATACCCATCCGTGATGTATTTTCAATGCCCTGGCTGAGGGAAGGAGGTTCTCACCCAAGATTTGACGGTACATGGCCCCATCCATCATCCTGTTGATATGGTGAGGTTGTCCTATCCCCGTAGCAGAAAAACATCCTCAAAGCATAATGTTTCCACTTCCATGTTTGACGGTGAGGATGATATTCTTGGAGTCACAGGCAGCATTCCTCCTCCTCCAAACACAGTGAGTTGAGTTGATGCCAAAGATTTTGATCTCATCTGACCACAACACTTTCACCCAGGTCTCCTCTGAATCATTCAGACATTCACTGACAAACTTCAGATGGGCCTGTATATGTGCTTTCTTGAGCAGAGGGACCTTGCAGGCGCTGCAGGATTTCAGTCCTTCATGGCGTAGTGTGTTACAGTTGTTTTCTTGGTGACTATGGTCCCAGCTGCCTTGAGACCATTGACAAGATCCTCCTGTGTAGTTCTGGCTGATTCCTCATCATTCTCATGATCATTGAAACTCCACGAGGTGAGATCTTGCATGGAGCCCCAGACTGAGGGAGGTTGACAGTTATTTTGTGTTTCTTCCATTTGCGAATAATCGTTGTCACCTTCTCACCAAGCTTCTTGGCAATAGTCTTGTAGCCCATTCCAGTCTTGTGTAGGTCTTGTGCCTGACATCCTTGATCTCGACCATGGTGGAGAATTTGGAATCTAATTGATTGATTGCTTCTGTGGACAGGTGTCTTTTATACAGGTAACAAACTGAGATTAGGAGCACTCCCTTTAAAAGGGTGCCCCTAATCTCAGCTCATTACCTGTATAAAAGACACCTGGGAGCTAGAAATCTTGCTGATTGATAGGGGATCAAATATTTATTTCACTCATTAAAATGCAAATCAATTGATACCTTTTTTGAAATGCATTTTTCTGGATTTTTTTGTTATTCTGTCTCTCACTGTTACAATAAATCATTAAAATTATCGATTGATCATTTCTTTGTCAGTGGGCAAACATATAAAATCAGCAGGGGATCAAATAATTTTTTTCCTCACTGTAATGTATTTTTATTAAAATCTCAAAAATACTTTTCAAGAGGATATTTCTGGAATATTTCAAGCATGGACTTAAGAAATAAATTCTGAAAAGTCCCATCAGTGGATTTATGACCTTAAAAATGGTAAAATGGTGTCTACAGATTTAAGATTCAGGTTGATTCATCAAAAAAATATATTTAGGGTGGATTGGAGTCCATGAAGAATGTATTTGAAAGTATAGATATCAGATTTTCTATGCTGGAGATATAAAAAATGGCAGGTTCCTTGACCCACTTGAATATGGTTATATGATCAGTTGGCATCTTTTTGGGATAGCATATTCATGTATAGAAGCAGATTTGTAGGAAAATCTTTATGTTAACATAATGTTATATACCAAAGCTTTGGAATTTGATTGTTTATCAGGATTTACGGTTGTATTGATCATAGGGATGGCAAGAAGGATCATACTGAGAAATTGGTAATTTGATATTCCAGATGTCACGGAATGGTTATTGGAAATGTGTAATGGATCTGTTGTCAACGCTGCTAACATCAGATGTTCTTGCTTTGACAACAGATGGAAATGTAGCCATCTTTTCTCTTTTGCTTTTAGAGTTAGATGATGCTGGGAGGGGGGATGTGGATGAGAGTCCGATTAATCATAACAATAATAACTCAGCTGTGGGAATCAAGGTTATTGTGCCCAGAGCTGATAAAGATTTGACGAGCTGGATTGCTGGGGAGAAAGCCCATGTTTCAAGCTAATTGGGATATGTGATTTATGACTATTAATTGGAGGAAGGAATTGTGCTTTGCTACTTTGTGCAGAGGGGAGAATTCAGTTTTTGGCTTTAACTATGTCAGTGGTTCTCAACCTTTTTAATGCCGTGACCCCCAACCGGTCGTAAGTCGAGGACTACTCAACCGGTCGTAAGTCGAGGACTACTCAACTGGTGCAGCACCGTTTGCAGAATGGGACTTTTGGCGGGCTCAGCAGGGCAGAGACAGCCTGGACAATTCCTATTGGCTTTTGAAAGCCAATAGAATTAGACTCTATTCAAGAGAGTCTATTCTATTGGCTTTCAAAAGCCAATAGAATAAAAGGGAGTAGCACAGCTAAGGAAGAGGGGGAAAAAATGGCGGACTGCGATGTTTGGCAACCCCAAATGGGGTCCCGACCCACAGGTTGAGAACCACTGAACTATGTAGTGCTGATGCTTTGTTTCTCGAATAAAAGATTCTTTAAGATAAACAATGCCTCAAAGTTCTTTTGAAGAGTTTAATCAGTCAGAACCATGACATCTGTTTTGGAAAAGGCAGTATTTTGTACAGTTATATTATTTGTTACTATGGCAGAAAGGTAATGAAATCTTAGAATAATATTCTGTTCATTCACAGTAGCGAATTCATTAGTAAGTGTTGTTTACCAGTCTTCTGCTTCCTAGGCCACAACTGTAACCACTATACCAAACTGGGTCTTATATCGTAATCTGTAAAGTCTATAAACTATAGTTTTAATAATAATAGAAATTACAATTCATATAGTAAATTCTAAGGGTTTAAGAGTTCGTTTGTGGTTAATAATCTGTATAATTTTGTTATTAATCTGCTATTCTATCATTTTAATTCTTATTCCTGGACTGAATGCAATTTAACGTTTTGCACTGGGTCTCTGTTAAAGATAAATTGTTTTTTGGCACAGCAGAATAAACAAAGGTGAGATACAGAAGATGGGCATTCAGCTCAGAGGTGATCATGAACATTCTGGGCAAATCCTAGGAAAAATTAATCTGAGAATCCTCCATTCACAGCGCTCATTAGTTAAGTTCAAGCATAGTTGTAAGTGTGTGTGTGTAAACCAAAACCCTGTTATACTTTGTGTCTGAGGAAGCATCCCCCAACCAGAAATGGGATTATATGAAAATAATATTAGCAAAGTCCTTGAGCAAAATCAGAACAATCTTCCTTCCTCTCTGGACATCTAAGTTTTAACGGGTCAAATGAATTCTGCTTTTGGCTCTTCATTTGTGCTCAGTGGATCCCAGCAGAAACTTGTCCAAATTCTCTCTCCGTAGGAAAGGAAGAAAAAGTTTGAGAAGGATGGGGAGAAGTTTTACTCCATGTTGGACCGCCACTTGCATTTATCTTCCAAGAAAAAGGAATCTCAACTGCAAGAGGTAAAGGGCAGACTGATGGTTGGGTGGGTGGTTAGAGAACTTTGTTTGAGAGAAAGGCATCTTCATGTAGCTGCTGTGATTTATTTATGTCCTACCATTTCTTCAGGAAATATAGACACTGGCATCGCTCTGCATTATTCCTGTGGTTCTTGTTCCTTTTCTGCCTGCCAGCAAGTTTTTCCCCACCCCAGAGTTCTCCCATCAGTGGATCAGGTCCACTGACTTTGCTGCCTCACACTACCCACCCCGCCAGGCAAACGGATTAGCATTCAGGTTATCAATCAAGGCTTGACAGTTATCTGTTTGAACTGATATACCAGGCCATAATCCTACAGCTATTGCACCAATTACATCTGCTTATTTCAACACTTCTCTGGCAAACAAAAACATTCTGGGCTTTTTATCATTAATGGCAGGCCAAAAACGAACAGGAGCCATCTCTGCAACAACTTTGTCAGTTAAATTGGTCTGAGAAAGCAGTGGCTGGACCTAAGTCAGCCAGTGAGTTTTGTTGGCTAAGAGTGGACTAAGCTTGGATTTTGCTAGTCTTAGCCCAGCACCTCCCACCTGGCCTGGCTTCCACATCCATGAGCAATGCCAAGAGCTGGACCCAATTTGTAAATGAGTTTGGAGAGCCAGTTTGGTCTGGCGGTTAAGGCTCCAGGCTAGAAAGCGGGAAGTGGTGAATTCAAATCCCACCTTAGCCATGAAAGCCAGCTGGATGACCTTAGACCTGTCACTCTCTCAACCCAACCCACCTCCCAGGGTTGTTGTGGGGAAAATAGGAGGAAGATGTGTCGGATATGTTCGCTGCCTTGAGTTTTTTGTAAATGTAATAAAAGTGGAATATAAATAAAAATTCACAAACTGGCAAAATTGTGTGTTCAGTAATAGAGAAAATTAGTTGAGCTTTTTATTTACTTTCCCCCTATTTGTTATGTAAAAATTGTTGATTTCTGTTGCTTCAATTTGTATGCTTTTCAAATAGGAATTCTGGCTAGTATAGCTAATACAGTTTGTTCTTGGGAAACAATTCAAAAACACACGGTGTTTTCTGTTCTGGGATACATTCCTCTCTCTTTCTACTTTTACAAATAGTGTTCAGCTGCTCATGGATTTATAGCTCCCTTAAATGCAGCAGAAGGATTGTGTAGGATTTCTTTTCTTTCTTTTTTTCTGTTTAGGCTGATTTGCTGGTTGATAAAGAGCGACACATTTTTTTTGAATCTTCCCTGGAATACGTGTATCAAATCCAAGAAGTGCAGGAGAGCAAGAAATTCAATATTGTGGAGCCTGTAAGTCTGGTCCCAGTTTAAAGAGATTCTTTAATTCACAGACTGGCTGCTAAGGGCAGTCCTTGACTTAGGACTGTAATGGAGTCTGCCAGTTATGGCCATAAGTTGTGGCAGTTGTAAAGCAGGTCAACACGTGACCGACTAGATTTCACAACCTTTTTAAAGTTGTGTCAGAACTTCAGAACTGGGTAGATAAGTACCTTTTGGGCGGTCATTAAGTGGCTGTTCATAAGTTGAAGACTGCCTGTACTCTTCGTTGTAAGCCTTTACAATTATCTGTTTCAGAAATGCTTTTATTCTTAAAGAGAAAGGAAAGAAAAGGTGAAAAAAGTAAATAAAAATTTTCAGGAAGGTGAAATCGGTCCTCAGTAGTCTTTTGCATTTTCTTTTTCTTTTATTTTGCTGTAAGTGGAACTCTTGGTTGTAAAGTGATCAAAAGCAGGAAACTGAAATGTGCACATGTTTTACACAGAAATAAATAGTTACATCCCATTTAGTAATGGTAGAAAATTGGCTCAGTTCCATTCTTTATAAACTTTATAAGCTTAAGTCTGCATAAAAATTGGTTATCTGTGCCAGCTATTTCCCAAAGTGGCAAAAGAGGGCTCAAAAGACATACCTACCAACACTGTTATAGTCAAACGTTGACTTAGAGAAAATATATAATACATTATGCAGAATTAAGGGCAAAAACCTATTTCACACAATTGTAGATGCACAAAGGTTGAGGCCTTGTTAAGGGAGAGTAGGTGAACTTGTGTTTCCTGATCAAGTGTGAATGTGATCAGAATCTCTCCATTGTCAGGCACCCGGGATGTGATCTGTGACGACAATCAGCCCTGCTTGGCCAATGTTGAAATCAGTTCTAATTTGTTGCAAAGTCGTTTGGCAGCATGTTCCTCCTCCAGAGGCCCAGTGCCATTTTTGGCGTGGTCCATGGCTTTTGCCTGTACAATTTTTAAAATATTCTTATCATTCTTCCGTGCACAGGTATTGGCTTTTCTTCATAGCCTCTTCACTTACAACAACCTGACTGTGGAGCTCACACAAGATTTCCTTCCGTACAAGCAACAGCTTCAGCTCAGTTTGCAAAATGTAAGTGAATTTCCAATATTCCCAGTGTCTTCCCACTTCTTTTTAATTGGAGAAGCAGCATTTCTTAGTGACACTCTTATTCTCGCCACTGACTTTTAGGCTGGACCTGCAAGTTTTAACTCACTTATTTTAAAATACAAGGAATCGGCTATGTTTAGAGAGCACCTGGTCCTGTTTTCAACCTTTTTTTAACCCGAGACGGGAACATCTGAGAACCCCTACCTGTGGCCTCAATTGATCCATGGGGCCTGATGAATTTATCTGCTGAAACTGCTCTGAGGCCTCCCTCAGATATTCTGGGCCTTCCCTAAAGAGGGTGGGGCAGCCAAGGAGTGCCTCGGACAGTCTCTTGGTCAGCCAAGGACACCAGGCGTACACTAGCAGGGATCCTAGCTGCAGCACTTACCTTCCCTGGAAGAGGGAAAATAGTGATCCTGGTGCCCTTCCCAAGTGGACCTGTTCCTCCACTTCTCCAACCTGGGGAAGGGAGAAATGGCTGTCCAGAAAAGAATCTGGTTGTGCTGATTCTGTGCCTCTTCCTTCATAGGAAGCTGGTGGGTTTCCATACAAGGGACTTCTGGAGAGGGGCAGACCTGCCATACCTCCAGTTCTTGCCCAGCCCAGTGGGAGAGACCCTGGTTTCAGAACAGCTTTGAACCTAGGATCCAGGCTCTGCCCTCTTTCCCCAGGTTCCAGGGAAGGGCAAATCAAATACATTGAGCCTCTTTGGATAAATATTCTTCCCGGATGTTCAAAGGTTTTGTTTTGTTTTGTACTTGGGGAAAAAAAACCCCACCCTCCCTGTACAGGCAGGATGCAAAAGTATGCTTGGTTGTTTAAAATATTTAAAAACTATCCCTTTGGCTAAACTTTTGGTAAGACACTATGATTATCATCCATTTATGTTAAAGCTCCAGGATGGAAAGTCGACTCTTCCACTGTTCTTTGCGGAGGCACCTTCTCAGAGCAGCCCCACTGATCTTAGGATGTGTGACGCACCTTCACTTTGTAGAGGTGGCTCTACAAAGCATTCTTTGCTTAAAATGATTGCTAGGTTGGCCGATGAAGATTAGCCTTCTTCTCTGGCTCTTTCATGGAAGACCACTGAAGTATGCCATTGGCCCTTTGCTCCCCAAATATGAATTAAGTCTTTTCTCCCATTGCTCCATAGACAAGGAATCATTTCAGCAGCACTCGGGAAGAGTTGGAAGACCTCAAGAAAAGAATGAAAGAAGCCCCACTGACCTGCAAATTACCTGGCAAATCAACTATTGAGGGATACCTCTATTCACAAGAAAAATGTAAGAGGCAGAGTTCCTTTCTTATTTTAAACGGGGTTCCTACAGAATGGAATGCTGAAAGTTCTGGAATGAAAATAAGAGAAGAGTCACTCCTTGTGACTGTGGCTAAAGGTCGAAGAACTTGGAAATAAGTGAACTCTGCTCTCCCACTTGCCTCCTTGCAGTCAACTAAAGGTCCCCGGGCCCGGTGATCTCATCAAAATTCACCTTTTTATCAAGCCTAAAACGAATTGAAATGAAACGAGGATGGAAGATTGGGGGGACTGGGGGCTGGGAGGGCAAAACCATTCAAAATGAACCTGGGAGGTTGGGGCCTTGACTGGCCCCGTTCAAACCCTGATGGTGATGTTCCCACCCAGCTGTGCCCAGCTCTTGGCCAGGACTCTCCCCGCCTTCCGCCCATGCCAGGGTTTAAGCCCGGCTCCCTCCCTCTTCTGTCCAAACAGAGGCAGATCTCTTGCACCACTGATGGGGACTTAGCTAGAATCCTCACTATTGCTTTCAAAACATTTTTACCAAGGATACAGGAAAATGAGGAAAAACTAAAATGGAATCGTTTTCTGCTTCCCTGTGTTACAGATAGTCCTCAGCTTAGGACCACAATGATGACCAGAGCTTTTGTTGCGAAGCAGTTTGGTCATTAAGTGAGACATCATGTGACCTTGTCCAATTTTATGACCTTTTTCCCACTTCCCCCGCTGATTGTGCTCGGCAGAAGGGAGGATGGCAAGTGGCAGTCATGTGAGCCCAGGAGGGTGCAACTGTCATATGCGGTCACTAAATAAATAATTGTAATTGTAAATCGTAAATAATTGTAAGTTGAGGACTGTCTGTATTTCCCTAGGCTAAACTCCCTCCACTTGGGATCTTCGCTGCCAAGTGGGGGGCTCATGGGGGGAGCTCAAGCCCTTCTCCCCTGAAGCCCTGGGGAGCCGCCTTTCCCAGGCAGTCTGCCCACGAGTGCGGCCCATCCCTGGCCAAAGGAAGGGGCCGTGCGAGACCACAGAGAAAAGTGGCACCTTCAAGAAGAGGGACTTCACTCTTGTGAAAGTTTTTGGGTTGTGTTGCCCATCCTCAGTTCTCCAGTTTCTCACAATATTCCTCCTGCACAATATCTCCTCACTGGCATAACTTGGCTAGAATCTAACTGATATTTACTCTGCTGCTTGCCATATTTCTCAGATATTCCAGCAGTTCCTCACATCTTCTGAATTCTTCTTGTTATTATTATCATATTTTTATCCCACCTGTATTTGTTTGTGTATGTGTAAAGTGTGAACTCAAGATGACAAACATACCTGTAAGGACCCACCCCACTTTGCATCTTAAGAAGACAGAACTCTTGGAATGATTCTTCCAACAGGCATCCTTTATTAAGAGAAAATGGTTGCAGGCGTTCTAGACAGGACTTGGGGTCCAAGCTCTCCAATTCAAGGTTTTAAGGGGTTCCCCAGTAGCCCCACCCAATCAACCCCCTCTTTCAGCGACAGTCTCAGGCATTACACTTCCACCCCCTTTTCATTACTGCCCGGCTGGATGGAGACTTCAAAGAAACTACATGAAAGGAAAACGGCCCCATTCTTATGGTTAGTTCTTTTGCAATACACACATTCAGTTCCTTAGAAGTATACTGAAGGAAGTGAGGGCCATAAAGCCCCTTTGTTCTCCCCCTTCTCTCCCTCTTATGGCAGAATCCAGAGAAGGCAGAATTGGGGTTTTCTATGTTTGATAACTAAAGATGAAATATAATTGGATTCTGACATCATACCTAATACTCCTGCCACCTATCCCACCATCCCCCACAACCCCGGGAGGTGGGTTGGGTCAAGAGAGAGTGACCGGCCCACTTACACAGCCCTGCCCTCTCTCCTGTGCAGAATTTCAATATAGGACACATTGAAATGGAGGGTTATCATCTGTCTACTGAGATCTTTTGGCCTATCGGTTCAAGGTTATGTTCGAAGGTCTTTTGGAAGGCTTTCTGGTTTCTCCATCTCTATCGTCAATGTTGGTACTCTTTTTGTCTCTGAATTTCTTTCTTAAGAACCTCCTGGGAGCATTGTCTTTCTTGGCTCTGGCTTCTCTTTTTGTAATTCCCCTGTTTTGTTCCCGAATATGACGAATAAGGCATTAGTAAACTAGGTAGCGGGTTCCTCTGTAAATGCTACCAGTATACTACTAAGGGAAGGCACTCCAGTTTTTCTTGATTCTCCAGAATGAAGGGCGGAGCTTAGTTCTCTTGAGTGAAGCCCAAAGAGGAACTGAGAAGCTGCAGGGTCTTTCTAACATCTGGGTCTGGCCTTCTTTCGGGGAGAAATCATTATTACCAAAGAGAATTATGGGATTCTGCCCTAAAGACCGCTTTTAACCAGCACTGGAGGTATCGCAGCCTCATGCTAGTCCCTGCAGAAACCGGAGTGGTGGGAAAGAACATTTGCACACCTGAAGGCCCACAGGACACCCTTGCGGGAATGCAAGGTAAATAATTGCATCACGGGATCTGAGGCATTCTTGGGCTTCTTAAGCCAAGTGCTGATCACCCTGGAATCCCCATGAGAGACCCTTGAAAGCAGCTCTGCTCATCCGAGAGATGCCACTTTAAGCAAGGCCATTAATAGAAGTCTCTGCTGTGTATTGGAAAAACTCAGGACAAACTAAGCTCAAAACGCTTACCTGTGTGCTGTATATGGCTGCAATCATCCTTGCAAAAAGCGTTCCCAGGTTCATAGCAATTCTGTTCCTTTTTGAAGAAATACACGCTTCCTGTATTTACTTTTCTCCCTTCTCTCTCCCCCATCCCACTCATAGTTTCCTATAGAACCATAAAGCTGGGAAGTACTTCAGCCTGTCCCACCGTTTGACAGATCTCATTTTCTGGAAGCTGTTCCTGATTTCTTATCTGGATCTATTTCCTTACCTTTCAGCTTCCAGCCTTGCCCTCTGGGGCAAAAAAAAAGAAGTGTCTTTCCTTCCTACAACTTTAGGTTTCTGCAGGCTGCTATTTTTTTCTCCCCTCGATCGTCTCTTTTGTAAGCTGAACTTCCATTAAACTTCCTCCCTGGGCAATTCCGTTCCTAGGTCATTTAGCCCTCTTCTGAGATATTCCAATTGGTCTTTTCCTTTTTAGATTGTGATGTGTGGAATTGGGTGCCCAGCTCCACATGGGCCATGACCATTTTCCACGATCTGGGCTCTACCACCTTGCTAATTCAGAGTAGTATTTACTGCTGGGTGGCTTCACCACTTTGTTGGTTAATGTTCACACTGTGATGTCTTGGAAGACCTGGATCATTTGCAGGTGCATCATTGTCCAGCCAGGACTCCCCCATTCTACACCTGTGCCTTATCCTTTTTTTCCTTCCTAAGATGCAGGACTTTGACATTGTCCATGTTAAATGTCAACTCCTGTCCTGGTCATTAATAAAAATGTTGAGCAGCACTGGGCCCTTTACCCCAAGCTGAATGGAGCCATTCACAAGCATTCTTTAGACATGCTCATCCTACTATGGGATTGTCTAAGAGTGACATCATCTAAACCTGTTTTTTCAATTCTGTTAATGAATTTTAATCCGTGAAAGCAGATGCTTTACAGTTAGTTAAATTCAACCTTGTAACCAGAATGGAAATCAAAGAGCCGAATCAAGTTCTTACAAATACTGAATTGAGAAAAATTGACAAGAGCCAGTACATCACAGCTAGCCTGTGGCATTGTTCTTTTTCTACAGCCCAGAAAAATGAGAGATGTCCACCTGCCATTTGTCTTTTCCTTAGTGCCGGAGACCCGGGCACAGGCAGCGTTTGAGATGGTTGTATTGGATATTGCACGTTTCTGAATGTGGAGAGTGGGGTATCTCAGATATTAATTCATCTCTTGACTTGATGTAGGGGCACTGGGAATCTCCTGGGTCAAATACTACTGCCAGTATGAGAAGGAAACAAAGATGTTAAGAATGACACCCATGGAGCAGAAACCAGGAGCAAAACAAGTGAGTAGCTTCTTGCGTCAATGGTGGGAAACCAGGCAGAACCTCTGCACCACTTTGGTAGCTCTGAACGAACGCTGAGCTCAAACTGCAACTTGTGGGTTCTCCCTCCTCTGTAACTTTCTGGTCTCCAGTTGAGATGTGTTTGATGTTGTTTGTTTGTTTGTTTGTAATCTTCATAAAGGGATGTAATTTTAGAGTGTTTAGAGGCAAAACCATGCAGGCTGGCGATTATAAGAGCTACGAGACATTAGATTGGGGACACCTCTTCTTAACAGAATGGAAATTCTTTGACATGTCAGATTTGCACTCTGTCATCTGCCAGTCTCTCAGAAGAATCATAAACAGGACAACTGATCTTCTAATGCTCAGGATCAGCATCAACTGCCTGGAGAAGAGAAAACCTTCGACATTTCCCCAAGACGTCTATCCCAAGGATTCTTAAGCTGATGACTTTTATCTTGCTAAACTTTAGCTCAGTGAAGCGTCTTTGAGCAAATGTATGTCTCTTTCTCTGTAGTAAGCATCTTTTTTCTCCATCAGCCAATAGGTCAATTCTTATTGCTTGTAATAATCTTTGAGAGAATATAGATCTCTTCCTCTGCAGTAAATGTCTTTTTCTATTCTCTTTTCTATTCTCTTTTCTATTATTAACTATCCTTTAATATAGGCAAAATTTTGCATGTCTAACCCAAGACTTCTCTTTACTTGAAATTCTCTATTTTCATTTTTATCAATCAAATTTGAAAAAAATCTTTCTACTGGAATGATAGGAAGCTTCTTTTCACCTGGTTACATTGTCAGCAAGGGAAGGAATAGAAATCTCTCAAAGAGAGATTCTGATGTTCTTCCTGGGGAAGTTTGAGCGTTTCCTTTGGATTTCTCTGCATTGCCCATTTCAACTGATCTTCATTCTTTGGATGGCAGAGACGGAGCGGCTACGGATTGTCTCTCCAGTGTGCTGGGCCCCCTCGGCTGCGCCTGCATCCCTGTCTGAAGGGGTCCCATGCAGGAAGTTCCCTTCTGAGCTCTTCCCCTCAGGTGAAGTGGGAAGAGTGGCAGACCAAGAATGCTACAGACCAGGACATACATTGCCACAAGAGAAACAGGTTGTTGGCTACCACTTAACTAAATAAAGGGATGGTGCCTTGTCAACTTTTTCTTCTCTCTTGAAAGAAATTTTAAAAGCAAAGTCTCATCAAATTGAATGAGGCCTACTTGAAAGAAATGCAAAAGAATAAGTATTTTTGTATGGGGAGGAAATGTTTAATCCTCTCCACACTGAGTTGCCAATAAATTGCAACTTAGGTAGTGGCTAAGCTTTTATTCCCTTTCATTTATATAGCTGCTCCTCTTGCAAATGCAACTCTGGATGGTGCATATAGTATTAAAAATCCCAAAACTACAAATGTAAAAACAAATAGCAAAAGCACAATAGTGACATTATGGTGCCTGAAGACATTCTAAGCCAATTCAGAATAAGAAAAATCCCATCAACAGGATCTGACCCCCTGGTGGCCCCATGGAATGAATGTGTGGGAATTCCCCCTGCTGAATAAACCTGGTGAGCTCCCCCCACTTGGAGCGAGTCTGCCAGCTCTCGGTGGAGAATCCGTTGAATCCATTCCATATTATCTTTTTTTTTATTATAAATTTTTACAATTTTACAATAAAAAAACCCTTCCCCAATCCCTCCCAATCCTCCCCCAAACCCTCCCCCCTTCTTCCCAGAGCTGAATGTATTTATTGAATGTAATTATATTTGTTTGAGGTTTATTTGAGTTTAAAAGTTTTTCCTTTTAAGTTCCATTCCATATTATCTTTGACCAGGCAAAGCCCAGCTTCGTTTTGCTGACTTATCCAGGTAGACCAGTTCTGGCTTATCCATGTGGCGGTGAAAACACAAGGCGTCAATCCTCAGAGGGCTTTTGCTTGTGCATGCAGTTCCTGGGTCCAGCCCTCCAGTGTGGACAGATGCCGTGTTCTACAGAGTTGGCAGCTGTGAGTGAGCCCATGGCTCACCCAGAAGAAGCTGTAGGCCTCCCAGTTCAAGCCACTGTCCTCTTGGAAGGGAGAAGGAAAAGGACTGCAAAGGACCTCCTTCTCCTGGCACTTTCCATCCCATACCTCTTCCTCACATTGGGATCTTGGTGCATTTTGCCTTGTGAATTTCTGCTACTAGGATTAGGGCTTTTGGAAGGAGAGCAGCAAGGTTTATCACCCTCATTGCCAGAATCCAGGGCCACCAGACATCCTCCGCCCACTTGGTCCCATGCAGGTCTTCCTTTCCCCTCTTACATACAGTTTTGCAGATCCACTTGATATTACTCACACCTAAAAAAGAAATGGAAGAAACTCACTTGAACTGCAGAATAAGCCTCCTAGCCCAGCAGCTAACCAAGGGAAGGCTGGCTGCTGCCCTGAGCTTCCTCCTCCATTCTCCATTTGTCAGGTGCCATCCTTCCTTCCGTGCTGCTGCATTTTGTCCCCTTTCACATCCCACTCCCTGCAATTGGGCCTGGGTGGGAATCTACCAAGCTTCCCGGCAACCCACCCCAACCCAGTCATGGAGGCTCCCCAGTGCCGAAGTGCAAGCAGAACTGAGGCTGCTTCTTCAAGGCAGTGGCAGGACCAAGGCCTGCACAAGATCCCGCAGTGACTGTCGGGGGCTCCCCTGGTCGGGAGCCCTGCTGAAAAGGGCAACAGTGGCTGCGTCTGCCGGGCTGCTCCTGCTTCGGCCTTCTGTCCTGCAAGCTTTCCTGTAATGTCGGCTCCTGCTCTTGTTCTTTGATTTGCCAAAATCAGATGGAGACTAAGACCACTTTCAACTTGCATTGATTGGAGGGTTGGCTGTTACTCTTGATGAACACTTCTTAAATTGCCACCTTAAAGTGCTGTTGTTGTTTCTTTTAAATGCAATGTTCTGTTTCTCTCAGGGCACCCCTGTCCATTTGATTCTGAAATCCTGCGTGCGAAGGAAGACTGATTCTATAGACAAAAGATTTTGTTTTGATATTGAGACAGTTGAAAGGTGAGCTAAAATTTTGGCAGCTTCGGTCCCACTGAATTATTGTTCAGCTCTTCTTTAAAGATTGTGCAGATAAAAATAAACAATAATGAAGGGGTGGAAACTTTTTCTCCCTCATATGATTGGGCATGTCATTCTATTTGAGAGAGTTGAAGGGGCTGTAGGGATCTCCCTCCCTCCCCCCATGCTCAGTGTGTAAATGCAGATTAAAACTTTCTTGATCAATCTCTCTCCTTTCTCTGCTTGAACATGTCTGCTGAATGCTGCAATCTCTCTGGGTCTGCTCTTACTTTTTTGAAGGGTTTTGATGCTTTCTGCCTGCAGCGATGATGGAGAATTTCAAGAGAAAACAATTCTGCTCAGGTCTAATATTAGTGCAGATTTCTATTCCCTTTGAGCTGTTGTTGGCATCCAGACTGGATGTTGGTTAAGAATCCAGAGCTGCTTGATGAAGTCATGGCAGTCTTGATGATGAGACATTTGACTTAATCAGATCCAAGGGGAGATTGATGGAAAAATGGGTTAAATTCAGAGAGAGAAATGTAGAAATGGTTTGATAAATTTGGTGAATTTCTTTGAATAAAATAAATTTCATACGCATTTGTTTTCAGTTTTGGATTAAGCTAAAATATATTTCTGGCCCTTAGTCCAAGATGTTTTCTTGATCAGACCAGTGACTGATCTGTTGTCCTCTGGCCTCTGTTTCATTTGCAGCTGGGCAACTTTTGAGATCTGTGGATTTCAGCCTCCGAGTTCCCCAGTCAGCACAACCATTGCTGAAATTTTGAGAGATAAAATCCACATATCCAGAAGTTGTTCAATTTGAGTAGTACTTGATCTACTAAAACAAGAGAAAAATCATTCCTCAGAATGAACAAATATTTACCTCCAATTGCTAAAAACCGAAGCGTTAATATGCTGAGGAGTGCTTCCTGAAAGAAGCCTGCCTACTTTCCTCAGAGCCCTCCTAGAGCCTCCCTCACATTGTTCAGTTTTATTTTGGGAGTTGTAATAAAAAAAAATAAAAGCTACACTTGAGTTGGCTGTTAATTTTTCTTTCTTGTCTCCCTTGCTGAATTTTATGCAGATCTGGTCCCATCACCTTACAAGCTCCCTCAGAAGCCAACCGACGGCTCTGGATGGAGGCCATGGATGGGAAGGAGCCGGTAGGTAGGCAGGCAGGTGGTCCTTTTCCTCTTTGCGAGAATGGGAGTGATTTTGGATTGGCAAACTCTCCTCAGAAAGTGTTTTCACTGTTTCTTAAATACAAAATACGCCTTAAAAGGGTGCCTTGGAATTAATTTTCAGTCTGGAGGGGTTGGTGTATTCCGGGGCGCATCTATTCAGAAGGAAGCCCTTCTGAATGAAGCTGGACCTTAGTGAAGTACGGTGGGGTCAATGGATCAGCCGGCTCCTTAGGGCCCAAGGCACCCTCAAAGGGCATTCACAGGCCTCCCCCCCAAAGTTTAAAAAATAATTGAATTATTGAGATCTTTTAAGAAGTTAATATCCTGGCAACTTTTAACATTTAGTTTTTTTTAGTTTTTGTATTATTATATCAAATGCCTGGCATCACTTCAGACCTCTAGGGAAAAGGGTAGTGTGACTTCCAGCTGAGCCTGTTGGGAGAGTTAGAAAAAGAAACCGAGTCACGTTTCTCTTCCCTGTTGCTTCTCGGGCTGAAATATCCAGCCTGTTGGCTCTGAGCTGCCATTTGAATCTCCACCACCACCACCACAGGCTGTCCACAGGCCTCCTGCTCCTCCCCAGAGGTTTCCCCATTTACCTGACCTGCCTGGGGATTCATGCTCTGACTGAAGGAGCAGGAACCTCAGCCAGAACACGGATCGCCGTTCCTTTCCTAGGATGGACGGCCAGCAGGAAGCACCCAAGCATGGAAAACATTTGTTAAACATCCCAGCATTCAGATTTTCTTGAATCTCTGCAAAAATTATTTCTGGATTTGCTTAGATTCCTTGCAGTCTGAGTATATCATCAGATACTCTAACCTTGAACCCTGGCACATAAAGCTTGCCTAATGTTGGAGATGAGAAGCCAGGCTCACAACAGGATCCAGGGACTTTCTGGGTTGTGAAGAAGAAAGGTTGTGCTGTCCATACATGATATTTGCGAGACCGCCTACTACCTCATAGTTCCCTACGTCCGGTTAGATCCCACAAGCTGGGCCTCCTTCAGGCCCCGTCGGCCAAGCAGTGCCATTTGGCGGGGCTGCGGAGGAGGGCCTTCTCTGTGATGGCACCCATGCTTTGGAATCAGCTCCCCCCGGAGATTAGGACCGCTCCCACCCTGTTGGTCTTCCGTAAGCTACTTAAGATCTGGCTTTTCCGGCAGGCCTGGGGTTTATAAAACCTTACCCCTAGATGATTGTTTTTGTATTGTTGTTTTGTTATGTTTTATGTGTTTTTTATTGTTAGCCGTCCAGAGTCTTTCGGGAGTGGGGCGGCTTATAAATTTTAAAAATAAATAAATAAATAAATAAATAAATATGTTGGGGGGGGGAATGAAGGATCCTATGCCAGCACCCAAGTGGACACTCCCCCCTCCCCCTTTTAAGAGAAGAAAAACCCTGGCTGGTGTACAGTCCCTTCTCAGGTGGGGTGTACTCCAGGCATGGCAGCTGCAGCAGGGCATTCTGGGAAATGTCCCCTCCTTCAGTCAGACCTTCTTTTTCTGATGCTGGGAAAGCAGCATCCTGGGTGTCAGGGGGGCCGAATAGGTGGAAAATTGAAAGGGGAAAGAAGGAGCAGGCCACTGAAGCAACCGGGGCAACGTGTGGTGCCCCTGGAGAGCAACCTGGCAGTGGGGGCCACAGTCTGACCTCTGAACGTTGCCCCCATTGTTTACAGGGGGGCCCTGAGAGATTATTCTCTCCACTGGTTGCTAGGTTCTTCATGAGGGTTGCTTAGGGTAGGTTTTATTGGGTGGGTTTATACCTTATTTATACCTTATTCGTCATCCACCCCAACAATTATTTGTCCCTGATGCCATTTTGTGTCCTCCGGATGTTTTGGACGAGGAGAAGGACTGGGGGTGGGCCTGGGGAGTCCCTCGGTGTATCTCACCCTGCTGTTGAAGAGAGGATGGAGGATGCCTCCAGGGATGCTGAGGAGGAGCACTCGCCCACTCGCCGGACAGGAAAAGAAGCCTTTGCTTCTGTGTGGAACTGCCAACCTAGGTTTCTGTTGCCAGAAGCAAGCCTTGTTTTGGGATGCGATGGCGCTTCATCGGGGGTGCTGGGGCAGCCGCACGGAGAAGGCTGTAGAACAGTGGTTCTCAACCTGTGGGTCGGGACCCCATTTGGGGTCGAACGACCATTTCACGGGGGTCGCCAAACAAGGCTGTCCGCCATTTTTTTCCCCTTTTCTTTGGCCACGCCCCTGGCACCCAGTGATGTATAAGTGGTTGGGGGTCACCACAACATGGGGAACTGTATTATGGGGTCGCGGCATTAGAAAGGTTGAGAACCACTGCTGTAGAAGGAGAAGGCCTTTTGGGGGGAATCTGGAATGAAAGATATGAAATGGTGGACGCCCCTGTCCTCAACAGGGAGTGGTAGCATTGATTGGTAGCAGTAGGATGTCCCCTCCCACTAGACTAGACAAGCCACAGAGAAAATTTGGAAGACAGATCTGGGGTGTGTGTGTGTGTGTGTGAATTCATATTGGAAACAGACCCTTCCCAATACTCTTTTTAGAAAATTAGAAACACACACGCGTACACGCACACACGCACACACACAAGTTCAGAGTGCCTTTTTTTCCATCTTAAGCATTTAAAGCCTTTCACTGTAATGTGCAGCTTGGCAAAGACTTTGCAAAGATGAAAACTAACCCAAGTGCTTGTTTTCAAATGATGTTATCTCTGTTTCCTTTGTCTCTCTCTCCTCCCTCACCCCATTCCTTTGGCCTGTTGTGCTTTGTATTGACCACTTGTTTTTCTTTATCTCTCCCTCCCCTCCCTTCCCCTCCATTTTGCTGTTTAGATCTACCACAGTCCCATCACCAAGCAAGAGGAAAGTGAGTATGTCAATTTTCCCAACATTGGAGATGCCAAAGTGAGTCATTCCGTTTCAGAGAGAGCCCCCTGCTGCCCCCTGCTGGTGGCATGTCCAGGTTTCGTAATCACATTTTAAAATAGGAATGATCAGAAACCTTGCTAGCGTCTGGAAAGGTACAAAGGGTCAAGAAGAGTATACTTCATGCATCGAAAATGAACCTCTTTTTTAAAAAAATGTTTTGCATTTTGTTTTGGGAAGGATCTTTCTTTCATGTTCTTTAGGATTGCTCTGACTTCAGTGTCCACATTTTAAATAGGCTTCTAGAGTCCAACCAACTGCAGGCAATTCATAGTCTTGGTTTTCTGAAAGAGTAACATTGTCTTGCACCATTTCCAAGCTTTAGCTACAAATATCTTGGGGTTTTCTTAGCAGCTTGATAGCTTTTTAATGAGATACAGCTCCCCTCTAGAGTTAGACATGCTGATATTTTTGAAAATGGCTGCAGGGTAGCCGTAGAAAAGAGGATCAGCAGCAGTTACTTTACTTTTCTTCTTAACCTGAAATTTCAAATCCAGCCGTTCTCAATCCCAGGAAGCCATTTTGCACCAGCCCATTCCCCTTTCCCCACAAATGTGATTTGGAGGAGGAGTAAAATGTAAAGAAGTAGAAAGAGTGTCAGAATCCAATTATATTTCATCTTTAATTATCAAACATAGAAACTCCCAATTCTGCCTTCTCTGGATTCTGCCATAAGAGGGAGAAAAGGGGGAGAGCAAAGGGGCTTTATGGCCCTCACTTCCTTCAGCACACTTCAAAGGACTGAATGTGTGTTTATTGTGGCCTCTAAGCTTGAACATATCAAAGAAGAGTAATTGCCTTTCATGTAGTTATCTGAAGTCTCCATCCAGACGGAAGAAGAAAGGGGATGGAATTGTGATACTTGAAACTATCACGGGAAGGGGGGTTGATTGGGTGGGACTACTGGGGAACCCCTTAAAACCTTGAATGGGAGAGCTTGGACCCCAAGTCCTGTCTAGCATGCCTGCAACCATTTTCGCTTAATAAAGGATTCCTTTTGGAAGAACTATTCCAAGAGTTCTGTCTTCTTAAGATGCAAAGTGGGGTGGGTCCTTACATTAGACAGGACTTGCAAAATTAATCCACCTGGAAGGTAGACCCTTGCCGGGGGATTTTGCAAAAAATTACCATGTCAGACAACGAAGCAAGAGAGGGAGAAAACTCCCTGGAAAGAGAGCCGCTGACCCCGTTGGAACCTTGCCAGATGTTGGGATCCGAGAGGCCAGATTTCTCAGAAGAAGAAGTGGTGGAGACACAGGACCACAAGCCTCGCTGGTCGATGGGCGTTGGAAAGAAAAGCGAGTGGGGAAAGGAATCAAGAAAAGTGACCCTGAGACGAGGGACCAAGCAACCAGAATGGAAGCAGGAGATGGAGAAATCCCTGCACGCAAGTGAAGAGGGAGGAAGCTGTATGCCGTACTCAGACTGGATCCTAGAGAGAGCTATTGACCTGAGGAAGAGAACTCTCAGCTCCCTAGGAGAGGAGATTCCTGAGCCCTACGCCCGCCCCAGTTCCTGGAGCCACAAAGGGAGAGACACCGAGGGGGACGTGGAACCTGCAACCCCAGGGACATTTACTGATACAGGAGCTCCCACCCCCTACCGGACCACAGATGGAAATCTGGACGGAAGACACTACCACCCACAATGGAGGCACCGATCCATTCCAAGACGTCCACCGTTGGAGGTGAAATTCAAAGGTGAGCCAACACGCTTGGGGTTTTTCCTAACCCAAGTCCTCAGCTACATGGAGGAATATGGGCAGGACATCCCCCGCGACAAAGCCCGCATCCGGATCGTGCAATCTGCCCTGGATGGACCAGCTGCAGATTGGGTGGTGAACCTGCATGACTCCAATGCCCCAGAACTCAGTAACTTCAACCGTTTCATGTCCTCGTTGAGAAGACGGTTTGAAGACCCACTGGCTGATCGCAAAGCCCGTGAAAGAATAACAACGATGAGGCAGGGCAAACGCCCAGTGGCTGAGTATACACAAGAATTCCGAGCCATTGCCAGCAAACTGAATTGGCCAGAAGACATCATCCTTGGCCGTTTCAAAGACGGACTAAACTATGATCTATATGATGCTTGCCTGCCCCGAGGAGACCCACATCGACTTGAGGAATGGTACGTCTTGGCAGAGGAAGCAGAGATCGACATATTGAAGAGGCATCGCCGAGGAAAACAATGGAGCCGCCCCCCGCCTGAGATGACACACCAACCGGTGAAATCATCGGATACAGCCAAGAAGCAGATGGGGTGTTTCAAGTGCGGAAGAGAAGGGCATCGAGCTGTAGAATGCCGCTCAAAGGCCCCCCAGCACAACCCAGACAGATCACCAATCAACAAACCCAGAGGGTATTCAGCTAAGCCAAAAGAAACAGCCATGAAAATGATGGAAATTGCAGAAAACCCCACCTCTGCTCACCAAGGGGAAAGAACTCCAGCCTACACCACAGGGACGGGGGATGCCTCAGATGACAGCTCGGAAGGCGAACCCCTGGTAAGTGGACGCATCACACCCATCTTCAAAACATTGACTATATTAATCCCCCCCATGCCCGAAGCTGTGAAGGTGAAAGCCTTAATAGACTCTGGCTGCACCCGCTGCCTCATTAGCCCAACACTAGTGGGGAATCTGGGCATCCCATCCAGGAGACTGGAACAACCAATCTCATTTGGCCAGCTAGATGGATCCATAGCAGGGGGGGTGCCAGCTACCCTAGCCACTCTGCCACTACACCTCTCCCTGGGCAACCATGAAGAGGACTTAACGTTTGTGGTGACCCCAGGTATGGAATGCCCAATGATTCTAGGGATGGAATGGTTGGAAAAATGGAACCCCTGGGTAAATTGGAGGACGACAGAAATCAAATTCCCGAAGGGGGACCCTATGGACTTAAAACCCCAAGAGAGGCTACCAGAATCAAGAATAGAACAAGCATCCATAGGAGAGGAAAAAAGAGTAACAGAAATACCAGAGGAATATAGGGACCTTGCTGAAGTCTTCAGTGAGGAGAGGGCGAATGAGCTTCCCCCCAACCGACCCACAGACTGTACCATTGAATTCAAGCCTGGGGCAAAACTCCCGAAACCCAGATTATACTCCATGAGCCCAAAGGAGAAGGAGGAAATGGAAAGATTTATAAAAAAAAAACTGGAGAGAGGTTTCATTGAACCAGCTAAGCCTAAAGTGGCTGCCCCGGTCCTTTTTAGAGAGAAGAAGGATGGCTCTTTACGTTTATGCGTGGATTATAGGGCCCTGAACACAATCAGTGAAAGCAACCTATACCCGCTGCCCCTCATGAAAGACATGCTGTCACACCTATCGAAAGTGAAAATTTTTTCTAAACTAGACTTAAGGGAAGCTTACTATCGCGTGAGAATCAAGGAAGGGGACGAATGGAAGACTGCATTTAACTGCCCCATGGGGTGCTATCAATTCAAAGTCTTGCCATTTGGATTACAAGGGGGCCCTGCAGTCTTTATGCAATTAATCAATGACGTTCTAAGGGAGCACCTGTTTAAGGGGGTCCTTGTTTACTTGGACGACATTCTTATCTTTACCGAAACAAAAGAAGAACACGTAAAACTTGTCAGAGCGGTTTTAAAGAAGCTGCGAGCCGCTCACCTATATGCCAAACTCTCAAAATGCGAATTCCACCAGGAAAGGATAGACTACATAGGCTATCGCATATCCCCACAGGGCATTGAAATGGACCCAGAGAAGGTCAGAGCAGTATTAGAATGGGCACCACCCCGCACAAGAAAGCAACTACAAAGTTCCCTGGGCTTTGCAAATTTTTACCGCCAATTCATCCCCTCATTTGCACAGATAGCCTTGCCCCTCACCAACTTACTAAAACCGCAGGGAACATCCTCAGTAAAACCTAGCCAGCCACTAACATGGACAATGGAGTGCCAAGCAGCGTTTGAGAGACTAAAGAGACTTTTTTCTGCCGAACCAGTACTAAGGCACCCAGATATGGACAAGCCCTTCATAATACAGGCAGATGCAAGTGATGTGGCAGGGGGGGCTGTGCTATTACAAGAAAATGATGATGCAGTATTGCAACCCTGTGCATATACATCTAAGAAACTCACGGAAACAGAACAGCGCTGGCCCGTATGGGAGAAGGAGGCTTATGGGATACGTTGGGCATTACTCACGTGGCGACAGTTCCTGGAATGCAACAAAATCCCCTTCCAGGTATGGACTGATCACAAAAATTTAGAAGCCCTGAAAACTTCCAGGAAACTCAATCCCAAACAAGCCCGCTGGTCCCAGCATTTTCACCAATTCCAATTTAAGCTCAAACATTTACCAGGAAGAAAGAACTTCCTGGCAGATGCACTATCTCGCATGCCCCAATATAACAGCGCAAGAACCACAGACTCTAGACCAATAATGGCAGAATCACAACTGGCAGCGCCAGTAACCACAAGAACCCAAGCCAAAATAAAACCACAACTGGACAGCCAAACTGGGATTGAATTCAGAAAAAGTTTGGAAACAGATGATTGGTTCCAGAAAAACAAACATGTGTGCACAATGAGAGACGGATTGCCTTGGGTAGGGGAAAAGTTATATATACCAACAACTAAAAGACTAACTTTCATGCAACTTTGCCATGACACAAAATCAGCAGGGCATTTTGGATTTGTAAAAACTTTACACTTAATTAAACGGCAATTTTGGTGGCCATCAATAATAAAGGACATAGAAAGTTATGTTGCCAGCTGCCCAACCTGTGCATCAGCAAAGAGGTTGCAAGGGAAATCGCCAGGGCTATTACAACCAGTGGCAAGTCCCTCAGCCCCCTGGAGGGAAATAGCCATGGATTTTATAGTGGAATTGCCAGAAAGCAATGGAAATACTGTTATCTGGACAGTCACGGACCTATTTTCCAAACAGGTGCACTTTATCCCTTGCCAAAAAATTCCCACTGCAAAGGCCTTAGCAAAACTTTTCATCCAGCACATTTACAGATTGCACTGGGCACCCCAACGCATCATCTCTGATAGGGGAGTGCAATTTACGTCTACATTTTGGAAGGAATTTTTATCCCTCTTAGGGACCACTCAGGGACTGACATCTAGCCATCACCCTCAGACAGATGGACAAGCGGAACGCTGCCCGTCGGTCCTTGAGCAATATTTGAGATGTTTTTTAAATTTCCAACAGAGTGATTGGACGGACTTACTTCCTTTTGCAGAAGTTGCCTACAATAATGCAGTCCACTCCAGCACAGGCTACCCTCCTTTTCAAATAGCCAACGGCCAAAGTTTCAACCCTATGCCAGAGTTAACCCCAAAAGAACCAACGATCCCTCCACTGAAAGAATGGATGGAAAGCCTACAAAACACCTGGCCAATAGTCAGAAAATCACTAGATGAAGCTAGGCGGGCATACAAAGCACAAGCCGATAAAAAAATGGTTGAGCCTACACCATTCATTATAGGAGAAATGGTGTACTTATCTACAAAATACCTAAAGTCCCTACAGCCCTGTAAAAAACTTGGACCAAAATATATAGTACCTTTTCCAATTAAAAGGATCATAAATCCAGTAACAGTAGAATTAGAATTACCCAAAAACCTCAGGCAAATACACCCAATTTTTCATTGCAGCTTGCTGAAAAGAGAGCATCAGTCACCTCTACGGCCAAAAATCCCCCCCCAACCACCTCCAATCATGGTGGAGGGGGAACAACACTTCGAAATAAAAGAGATCCTTGACTCTAGGAGATATCGTGGAACAACTCAGTACCTAGTTGCCTGGAAACACCTCCCTGCCTCACAAAATGAGTGGGTCCATAAACGTCACGTCAGAGCCCCGAAGCTATTGACGAAGTTTCACACAGAGTATCCTAACAAGCCTAACTAAATTTTTTACTTGTGTTTTCTTTCAGGTGGATCTCTCTTATTGTTAAGAGGGGCCGGATGTCAGAATCCAATTATATTTCATCTTTAATTATCAAACATAGACACTCCCAATTCTGCCTTCTCTGGATTCTGCCATAAGAGGGAGACAAGGGGGAGAGCAAAGGGGCTTTATGGCCCTCACTTCCTTCAGCACACTTCAAAGGACTGAATGTGTGGTTATTGTGGCCTCTAAGCTTTAACATATCAAAGAAGAGTAATTGCCTTTCATGTAGTTATCTGAAGTCTCCATCCAGACGGAAGAAGAAAGTGGATGGAATTGTGATACTTGAAACTATCACTGGAAGGGGGGTTGATTGGGTGGGACTACTGGGGAACCCCTTAAAACCTTGAATGGGAGAGCTTGAACCCCAAGTCCTGTCTAGCATGCCTGCAACCATTTTCTCTTAATAAAGGATTCCTGTTGGAAGAACTATTCCAAGAGTTCTGTCTTCTTAAGATGCAAAGTGGGGTGGGTTAGGGCAACCCCTTTCTTTCAGCAGGATCTTTGCCTGAATGAATTAAGCTGCAAAGAAAATAAAAACAAAAAAATTAAGGAATAGTTAATTGGAAAGTTCATTACAGCCACCAAACGAGGGCTGGAAAAATCTAGATAGTCAGGAGGGCAGAAAGCCACGGGGAGACTTCTGTTTCCCTGTAGAGCAGGTGTGTCCAACCTTTGATTTATATACATGGACTCCATTATATATTTTATATGCAGCCCAAGGCAATTCCTCTTTATTCAGCACAGGCCAGGAAGGTGGACCTCCATGCTTTAGAGCAGATGTCTTGAAACTTGGCCCTTTTATGACTCATGGACTTCAACTCCCAGAATTCCTCAGCCAGTTTGCCTGGCTGAGGAATTCTGGGAGTTGAAGTCCATGAGTCATAAAAGGGCCAAATTTGAAGACCCCTGCTTTAGAGTGTTTCAGCCCTGATTTGTTAACTGTGTCATCTGACATCAATAATATCCTCTTAGGAATATTTTAATTAACATACATATTCCTGCATGTGATACACTGAGTCCAAACTGACTTCAGTAAGGACAGGGCTTTATGTAAAAAAAAAAAAAAAAGTTTTACTGAACTTACATGGTTCTACCCGCCACGCTACCTGCAGTATGCTTTTCCAATTTGCCAGCCTTCCACCCTCATCCTTCCCAGACCACATAGTTAAAGACTTACAGGGATTGGAGTTCCACATATGTGGACAATGCCAACCCATAAAAGACTGATATAAAACAGTTCTCCTTAAATCTAAGATTTAAATTAGGGCAGACTTCCTTGACCGCTATACCTGAATTTGGTTCATTTCTTATCGCACCACATTTGAAGAGCAGGGCTGGTTTTGAAGTTTCTGAAAGTCATTTTATCTAGTGGGATCTTGCTTTCTCCTTGCATAGAGGAATCCACTAAGACTTTGAATAAGCTGGGTTCTCAGCGCAGCAGGCTTTACGTTGCTTGCTCTGGCAGCAGTTTTTTTTACTGTCCCACAGATTTGGGCCCAGCCATACCTAAAGAAGGGCAGGCTGAAGCCCGCGGGCCTCTCGTCCTTTGAACTGATCTCATTCATGGTCCGAGCCTCATTTGATATCAGGGCTGCTCCTTCTTGCAGCGGCCGTAGCTCACCCTCAGTTGGTGGGAACGGGAGCCTTGCTTGCCTGCACGTGCAGGACGAGGCCGATGCTGGCTGGCTACCGTAAAAGCAGCAGCATCTTTTATTCAAGGAGAGCAAAATAAACATGTTCTTACTTGCTTTTCTGGAAGTTGGCGAGGGATAATATTCTCTGCCTTTTGCTTTTTTTCCCCAACAGTGGAACTGAACGAGATCGGCTTCAGATTTGTCCGGAAATGCATTAATGCAATAGAGACAAATGGTAAGTATAGCACGGGGCCCATTTTATTTAACTAGAGCAAAACATTGGAGTGGGGGGGGGGGCGGGAATGTCTGGCCGAGCAGTGCTGGCCTTGAATTGCAGTCCTTAAAGGATCTGGAGCATCCCCAATTTGTCTCGTCTATTGCATCTTTCCACAGAGGAAACAAAAGAGAATTCCTCTTTATTTCATATCTGCCCCGGTTTTAAAAGACTGTTTAGATTATTTTTTCCCCAACATTGACAACTTTTAAGATCAGTGGGTTTCAATTCCCAGAAGTCTCCCAGATGTCCACACAAAGCTTGTCAAGGTTGGGAGAAAAAATAGTCTAAACAGTCTTTTAAAATTGCCAAAGTTGAGAAATGCTGTGTTAGGCCAATCAGCTCACTTTCCTAAGATGGCCAAGGGATAATTTTACGCTCCCGATGACAATTTCTCTAATTTGAATGGATGGGATCTGAGGAATTCTTTGGTTCTAGAACAGTGTTGCAGAGTTTGAAAGTTAAACTCTAAAGTAGTCTTAACATTATTCTTAAATCACTAAATTAAGCCAAAATGTCAACAGCAAAGTGCAATTGGTGGAGACACACATTTTTGTTAGTCCTTGTAAACAGCAGTTGGAAAGATGACATGCAATTTTAGGAGCATCAAAGTAAACTAAATATTTGATACCTGCTATAAAGAAGAGTGGAAAACTGTTATAAGAAAAACATTTTGTACAATTTTAAAAGAACTGCGAAGGGAATTAAATATACTTCTGAAATGCTCAGAGGAAAATTCAAGATGGCTAATATTCCAGAATGAAACAATAAAAAAGAGTAGAGAAGAACAAGCAAATCTTCTGTTTCTAGCTTTAAGAAGTTGTATCATAAAAGTGCCACAGAAATAAATGGGTTCTGTTCAGCTCTGTTCTTCAGACAACACTCAAAATCCCAGACAGTGGAGTGTTTCTGGCAGAAAACCTGAACAAGTGGCCAACAATGGAACAAAATGAAGGCAAGAACTTCAGCAGTATCAGTTTGCTTTAGATGTTGTCATTGTTTTCTTTGAGTATCCTTGTAAATTCTTTGGCTGGAATATTCTGGGGACATTCAACTAGAAGGCAGCATAGATTTGGTGCGGTCATGCGCATCTCAGGGTTGAACATGGCATTGCGTGCCTAGACTCCCACATGGATGAGTGTCGTCTGCCATGAAGGACAGGCTTTCCTGCCACAAAAAAGTTCTATGAAGAATTCTCTAAGGGTTTGTGGGTCTTAAAATTTGAGGCTGTAGCTAATTACTTCAGGTACTAACCGTCTGCAAGGGAGGAGATGTTGCAGACTGCTTTGGAAGTGCTGGGAGCTGCTTTTCCTCAGAGGAGGATGTGCAAAACTTCTCGGACAGGGTCAGTCTCCACACAACTTTCTTGCCTTCATTAGCTCGCACTGCACGTTTGCAGGCAATTTACCCTGAAGCCTTTTCTGAGAATTACTGTGTTCTAATAAATCATATTAAAGAGGACTGCGATCTCTAGATTCTTTCCCATTTTAAATTATTATTCCAGAGTTTGTTACAAAGTATGTTTGAAAAATGATTTTCCCCCTTAATGATGGCATAAGGTGGCACTAGTGAGCTTCCTCAAATCCTAATAAAGGTCTTTGTTTTGCTAGGATGAATTATTTGAATGGCTTCTTGTTTCTTCCTCCCGTTCAGGTGTCACCACTGAAGGGCTCTATCGCACCGTTGGGAGCAACATCCAAGTCCAGAAGCTCTTGAATGCCTTTTTTGGTAAGAAGCAGGTCTTAATCAGAAGCTGTCCAAGATAAACTGTCGGAGAGTTAAGGAACCAACTCCCGCTATTCAGACCACCACAGGGTGTACTTTGGCCATTCTGAAATCTGACTTAGCATTTCACTGCTTTCTCTTTTTAATTTGCTGAATAATCTGTGAATATGGATAATACATTTTTTTCATGGGAATTAAATTAATATAATAGTTATAGCAGAATGGCTTTCATTAGCACACTCTTTTTCGAATGATAGAAAACTGGACTCAGGAGGAGCAGCAGAGGGGAAGGACAGACCTAGTGGGGCTGTGCTGCAAATAGGTACCCTCCACTTAGAACCATTCGTTTAGAAACTGTTTGAAGTTACAGTGGCACTGAAAAAAGTGATATATCACTGGTCCTCACACTTATGACCATTGCAGCAGTCGCATGGTCACATGATCAAAATTCAGGTGCTTGGCAACTGGCATGTATTTATGATGACCGTCGTGTCCCCGGGTCATGTGATCGCCATCTGCGTTCTTCCCAGCCGACTTGTAATAAGCAAAATCAATGGGAAAAGCCAAATTCACTTAATGACTGCATGATTCATAGTGATTTGCTTAACAACCAGGGCAAGCGGCCATAAAATTGGGCACGACTCACTTAGCCATACCCTTGGTTACCAGTGAAAACTCAGATCCGAGTTTGGTTGTAATTTGAGGATTACTTGGGGGCCCCTCGAGGCCAAACGGGTCAAGGCGCTCTGGATGTTTCCATCCACACCGTCCAGCAATGTTGGGGAGGCTCTTTGGTGCATCGACAGAATCTGGCCCTTTAAGGGCTTCCTTTCCACCAACAGTTTGATGGTGGACATCGCTGGAAGGGCTGCAGTGTAATTTAGTGATGTTTGTATGGCAAAATTATCAGTTGGATATAACATCTGCAGGACACATTCTGCCCTCTTGAACAGGCTCACAAACGTGTGGATAAGAACCAGTTTCTACAGAAGAGAATATGCATAGCTCAGGGTTCAACTGTGGAGTCCTCTTCTCAGATGTTTCATTACCCAACTAACATCATGATTTAAGTTCCAGAGGGAGGGAGGGAGGGAGGGAGGGAGGGAGAGAGAGAGAGAGAGAGAGAGAGAGAGAGAGAGAGAGAGAGAGAGAGAGAGAGAGATGCTACTCTGCCATCCCACATCTCTGCCAGTGTTGAACATCTCAGTGCTTGCACTGGAGAATTAGGATCTGCATAAAAGAGTGAAGATTTGTATTCATAAAAATGTATTGATTAGCTTTGAATTTTGCAGAAGCTGATGGAAAATCTGTAAATCTGTAAAATATGTAAATCCAAACCTTCCAACTTTCCACTCATTTCGATTATTCAGCTGCAATTGTGAACTATCGCTGTTACTTGCTAATACAATCAGAACAATTTGCCAAATGAAAATAAATCCCAAAGGCTCAGGGCTTGTTTTTTTGGACTGAATATCAAGATTTACAATCTGGGACAAGAGAAGTAGAAATACGAGCACAGAAAAGGAAAGAAAACAGTTTTGGAGAGGAGAGTTTGGTAAAGATTAAATAGCTGGAAAACTGAGTTTGATTAGACAAGTATATAAATGTGAAAAATAGCAGCTAGCAATCACAGCTACTCAGGCTTGGAGGAAAAGGGCTGGAGTTAGATTTCTGGGGCCGAGAGGAAAGCAGTAAAAATGATGAAAGGCTGCAAACAGTTGGGCAGGCAACAAAAGCAGAAAAACTGCCAGAGGAGTAAAAAAGAAAAAAGACAGATTTTCCTCCCCAGTTAAAAAGGAAGGGATGAAGATAAAGGAGAGAGTAAGAAGGTCAGGGTCAAGTCTCTGCTCTCAGGGATTAGCAGTCATTAAAGTCATTAGTAAATTATAGCTCTTTCATAAAGAAGAATGACGATTTGAAGGCAGGTTCAGTTATAACACTTCCAAGAGAGGAAATAGAACAGAACAGAACAGAATAGAATAGAATAGAATTGGAAGGGACTTAGAGGCCTTCTAGTCCAGCCCTCTGCTCGAGCAGGAGAACCTATACCACCTCAGACAAGTGACTGTCCAGTCTCTTCTTAAAAATCTCCAGTGATGGAGCGCCCACGATTTTTGGGGGCAAGCTGTTCCACTGGTTAATTGTCCTCACTGTCAGGAAGTTTCTCCTTAATTCCAGTTTGCTTCTCTCTTTGATCAGTTTCCAACCATTGTTTCTTGTCCTGCCTTCAGGTGCTTTGGGGAACAACCTGACCCCTTCTCCCTTGTGGCAGCCCCTCAGATACTGGAACACTGCTATCATGTCTCCCCTCTTTCTTCTTCTCTTTAGACTAGCCAAACCCAAGTCCTGCAGCCATTCTTCGTATGTTTTAGTCTCCAGGTCTTGGATCATCTTTGTTGTTCTTCTCTGAAGTTTTTCCAAAGTCTCATCATCTTTTTTGTGATAGGGTGACCAAAATTGGCTGCAGTATTCCAGGTGTGGTCTCACTAGGGTTATCCGGTGTACGTTCCAGAGACGGGAGGGCTTCAAAGACATTGGAAGTTCAGTAAATGAAAGGATCACTACCAGTAAAGAACCACAGAAAGTTCACTAAGCATCTTATGTGCCATTTGAATGTCTCTTTCCCCTTAGGAAAGACAGAGATCTACTGGAAAGAGCCAGCAACCAATGGGGATGTTTTGTTTCAGGTTCAAATCTTTTCTGCAGAATAGGTCCTTGCATGGCCAAGATATGAAGGGGGCAAACCCTCTCATGTTCCTCTGAGATGTGCAGTGGCTTCAATCTGTTTGGGTCTTTGGGCGGACAGGCTGGAGCCAAGCATCCCTGCCTCCCTCGGATGCAACACAGCCCCTGTGAGAGGCCGATTGCCAAAAGCTGTTCCCACAAAGTCATCCTGCTCTCCCCCTGCTCTCCCCCCCATATCGGCACCTGTTCTTTTATCTGTCTGGGAAGCCCCCCTAAAGCAGCAGGAGAGGCTTTGCAGGATCCCACAGGGTGAGGGTCTTCCCATGCGGTCTCATCAGATTTTGGCTCATGGACAGCAGTTTCTTCAGTCTCTCTTGTGGCTTAATAAGATGGAGACCAGATTTCCAGTCCTCTGCTCATCTCATGGCATCCTCAGTTTTATTTATTCCTTTTCCCTAAAACTTATCAATGTTATTTTGAATTTTATTTCAGTCATCTAAGGCAGATAAAACATTTTGATCTCAGGAACCTTTTATGTTTTAAAAAATGACTGCAGACCCTAATGAGCTCTGATCTATGTGGGTTATATCTGTCAATATTTCCTGTTTTAGAAAATAAAACAGAAGTTTTTAAATATGTATTTATTTGACTTCATGGGGACCCTTTGACAATTGCTGATCTAGGGGATTAGTTTTCTACCCAGTTTTATATCATTCACTAATGATCGAAAAGGACAAATCTGTTAAACCTCCCTTCAATTTCATCCACCTGATTAATCAAAATGTTGAAGCCTATGGGATCAGTACTTAAACTTTGTGGCCCTCATGCATAACTGCATCCCATATTGACGAGAAAGCATTGATGAGCAGTGTCTGAATATTGATTTTCATAATCTATGCACTTAATTATCAGGTTTAAATGATTTGCTAATCAGAAATAGGGTATTTTGTTAGATGTTTCTCTGAATCAAAATATATCTGTAGCATCCTTGCAATTTATTGAGAAATAAATCAAAACAGTGGGAAGAAGATGGGATGAGAATGGATAAATCCATACTGATTTCTGGAAAGCGCACCATTGTTTTCAGTCATTGTGTGGTCACGCTCTGGAATCTGTCCCACCGGTAGTGCTGATTCTAGGCTGGCTGGGGATCCTTAAGAACAGGCTGCTTTGCCAGTGGCTGGAGTTCCCACAGGCTGCCTTGGGTTGGGGTGCTGGTGGCCTGGACTTGAGGTTCCGAAGTGCACCCGAGAGGCCTTCAGCCTTCAGCATTTGCAGCCACTTGCTGTATCCCGCAGTCACGTGGCACGTTTTGCAGCAGCTTTGCCAAGGAGCCAGAGTGCGGTCATTTGATGTCAGGGTGGTGGACCATGGTCGGAACTTCGAATCTGGGGCGTAAGTACCCTTCATGTAGGAACTTTCGTCGCAGGTCACACTTAGACTCTGTAATGCTTTGAGATTTGCCTTTTATCTTGTTGATTTTATAAAAATGTTTTTCTATTTCCCTATAGCTAAATGTTAACTATACTGTACATGCATGAATAATTAATCTGACTTACCTTTTTCCATTTCCCCTCCTTTTCTAGATCCTAAGTGCCCTGGGGATGTGGATTTCCAGAGCAATGACTGGGACATCAAGACTATTACCAGCTCCTTGAAGTTCTACCTCAGGTAGGGTTCAACTTGTTTGCTTTTGGCAAATGACTGCCTGAGTTCAGAATCCTCTTGTGACCCAGATGGATGATGCTCTTGTAGTACTGCCTAGTTAGGTAGTGATGTCTGGATTCACTGCTTTGTGCCAGAGTTGCCTAAAACCAACAAATGCTGGCCTTCCGTTCACAATGGAAGTTATCCAGTCTTCTTGCTGTAAGAAAAGGCACCACTGAGAACCAGCCGCACAAGAGTAGAATAGAGTTGCAACTGCATTTTACAATTCTCCCAACCCTCTTTGTAGAGGGTGGGAAAATAGCAATAGCACTTAGACTTATAGCCATTGCAGTAGTGTTTAGACTTATATACCTCTCCATAGTGCTTTACAGCCCTCTCTGAGAAGTTTGCAGAGTCAGCCTATTGTCCACAATAATCTAGGTCCTCATTTTACCAACCTCAGAAGGATGGAAAGCTGAGTCAACCTTGAGCTGGTCAGGATTGAACTCCTGGCAGTGGGCAGAATTAGCCTGGAAGCTTTGTTTTCTGCCTCGCTTCCTTTTTCTTCCACAATGGAGCAAAATAAAATAAAATTTTAATAATGTACAGTGGTGTGATTGAGACTGTGCCTTCACAGAACTTCTGGGATTTATGTGTCTTTACTTAGCTCTGTCCCTTTATGGTCATTTTCCATTGCTCATCCTAGGAGGCCATCGAAGGGTGGGCTGAAAATCAAAAGCTAAAGGAACAAAGCTTTCCCTTTGGTCTCAGACACGTAAGAGGCAGTTAAACCCACCTTCTGACCATTGCTAAGCAATCGGGACAGCAAGAGGAACCCATGCATCAACGCTTGGGCAGATCAGTGGCCGCTCCCCGAGGCAGTGATTAGCAAAGAGAAACTCGCTTCCTTTGGACATGCGATGTGAGTGGAATAGTGAAAATAAGTAGTTTTGACAAAATTGAAGAAATACAGGAAGTGCCGTGCTGTTAATAGGTATGAGGCTGCATAAATTGGTGTAAGATGGGCAAATTCTCTCCCCTGTCATTTATCAAGCCAGTTGATGCTTCTATCAACTATTTAAACAGGATGCTGCTTTTTAAAAATTACGTAAGGCATCATAAAGAATGAGAGCATAAAGGAGACCAGATGAGCAATCTCGATGCAACAAATGGAGACATAAAGTGCTCCCCCCACCAACACAGAACTTCCCAATGTTGAATGGAACTTGGTTGTTGTTGACTTTGGCAATGTGGCTGCTTCTCTTTCCAGGAACCTCTCTGAACCTGTCATGACATACAAGCTTCACAGAGAATTGGTCTCGGCTGCCAGTAAGTCTCCAAGACGGGGGCAGAGGAGGCTGTTTTGAAGGGTTTCCTGAATGTGTTGTTTGTTTTCCTGATGGTGTGAAAAACACATTTCTGGAATGTTCAGTCTTTGTCAGATGCTGTGAACAAATGTCGTGCTGCTGCTCTCTTCAATAATACCGAGAGACTTTGGCTCAGAAAAAGCAGGAACAGCCTTTCCTATTAATTGTACCAAATGCCAAACCAGGATTTTCAAGCCACAGTCCATTAAAAAAGCTAAAAGTGGGTGCAGAGCTAAGTCATAATGGTTGGGTTTATACATCACATGGACCAAAATAAACATCTACTTGATGGCTTAATGTGATGCATAAACTTTCTAGTTGCTTTTTTCTAGTGTAAGTATAAGTAGAATCTTTCCGACAAACAACAATTAACTGAGTCCTTTCATTTTTACATGGAACACGTATGCCCCACCCCAATATTGCTATGCAGTTTTGTTGCTATTGATGCTACATCATGGTTAAGTGTGAAGAATTCGTGATTTCAAGTGAGTTTCTATAAGGGAACAACTGATTTGGTTGAAAGTGTAAGTAAACAAAGTGCATGACCACAATTTACCATTAAAATAAATTGGCTTTCCTCTGCCTTGAGCTGTTTCTTTGTGTCTTGCCTCTCTTCAAAATGGGGCTCAAGGCAGTGACAAAAGTGCAATGGAAACACATATAATAAAACCTTAAAATGCCAACATAAAATAGACACGTAAGTTAATTAGTAGTTAAATCAGGAGAAGTGAGGGGCAGTGGTCTGTTTCAGAATATTGATGAGAAAATTAACCGGCCAAAACTGGAACGTCTCCAGAGGGGGAAGTGGCAGAGCTGGCCGGCCGGGCGTTGGCTGCGCCTTCTGGGCAGATTTCTGGGGAGGGGACGAGGAGGGAGGATTTCTCAACTGCAAATATTATTTCCCACGGTTGGCACAGACTTCAGGAAGGTGGCTTAAAGATTAATGTTAGCGATAAATATAAGACTCTTTGGAAATTGCAAACGGTCTTTTTAACACTCATTTGTTAATCAGTTAATTAAAGTGGACACTCTTGAATTGTTTCTTCCTCAGGTTTCTTGCCCCCATTTATAAGAGTTCTTCATCTCGCCTTCCCATTACTCTGCTGGCCTTCTTGCAATGTCTGCTTTAACTCTGCAGTGGGAGGGATCTTAGATGGAGAAATTGCAGTCCTGGGCATTTTCACTCTTACTTTTGAAAGCGGAGCCTTTTCTGGAATGAATGTGCTGACACTTGGAAACTGACAAAGCTATTTTCCAAATTGACAAATGGATCGTTCTCCACAGCTGGGGAGTTTGATACTCCGTGCTCCTTGAGAAGAGAGGGGCTCTCTTGGGTCACAAGGGCCTGGATGCCAGCCCAAGCCCCCACCTGCTGGGCACCAAACATTGTTAATGTTTACATGGGGGTTTGCTTTATATTCATATAAAGTTATATTCGTATAGAATATTTGTATACGTTGTTTCCAACTGCAGCAGCATATAAATATGTTTATATAAATAAAATAATGCAATGAATGTTGGGGTGATGGACAGGAAGCAGCCCTCACTCCAAGCCCTTCAGAATAAGGGCCCTTCTTCCCCCTCCCCATCAGTGCTCCTTTCAGATGCTGCTCCTGTCCTCAAGCAAGGGACACTTGGGGGCCTTCTGGAGAAAGGGTCTTGCTCTGCTGTCTGTTCTTCCAGGAACCACTTGAAGATTTAGGAGCTGGAGGCATCTGGGGAGTGAAAATATTGCTGGGCTATCCAGAGTTTCTTTTAAAACTCATTTGGAAACCCATCTCCAGGAATTCAAATGGGTGCAAGCAGTGATGAACTCTTCACTGCAGGAGGGGAAGTTTCTGGGGTCTTTTAAGTGATACTGTTGCTGCCCTCTCGCAGAGCCTCCTCCTCAAAAAAAACCCCATCGCTTGATCCCACCTGCTTGGACAAGTTATGTCCAGTTTCCCTTCTTCCCCTCTTAGGGAAGGTGGTAGAAAAGCTGCTCGCCTGGCAGCTTCAGAGGGTCCTGGATGGAGCAGAGTATCTGGACCCTTTTCAGTCAGGATTCAGGGCATTGCTCTCACTTGCTGGTGATCTCTGGCGAGAGGGGGATGGGGGTAGTGCAACCATCTTCATTCCCTTGATCTCTCAGCGGCCTTTGATGCCATCAACCATGGTATCCTTTTGGGCCAGCTGCAGGATTTGGGGCTGGGTGACTCACTTCTGTGTTGGTTTGGCTCCTTTCCTCAAGGACGGTCCTAATCCGTGTTAACAGGGAGTGAGAGTTCCTGCCCACAGCCATTCCTTTGCCAAGTGCCACAGGGCTTGGGACTCTCTTCACTCCTTTTGAACATCTGCCTGAAGCTGCTGGGTGAGACCATTTGCCACCCCTATGCTGGTGGTTCTCAACTTGTTATCTGCACCCTGGTGATCCAAGTGATGTTGTTGCCGGCCTCTCGCAGAGTGTGGAGGCTGGATGGGGGACAGCAGGCTTTGGCCGAACCCTGGCGAGATCATTGACTTTGGGTGCACGCAGCTTCAAGATCTGGGTCTTGAACATCTTTAGTTCTGGGTGGGGTGGCTTTGCCCCAGACGCTTCCAGTCCACAGCTTGGGGCCTCTCCTGGACTCAGACCTCCTGTCCAAAGAGCAGGTGGTAACTGTGGCTAGGAGAGCCTTTGTACAACCTTGTCTCGTGCACCAGCTGTGGCCCTTTCTGGATCAGGAGTCCCTGCGCTCAGTCACTCAAGCCACGGTCATCTCACATTTGGACTGCTGCAATGCGCTCTACATGGGGCTACCCTTGAAGAGCATTGTGGTGGCCGGGCAGTTCTTAGGGCCCCTAGAGTGGCGCATGTTACCCCACTGCTCCCTGAGCTGCACTGGTTGCCAGTTTGCTTCTGGCTGCATTTCAGGGTGTTAGTTATTATCTTCAAAGCCCTGCATGGCACGGATCCAGGTGCCTGGTGGGACTGGCCCACCCAAGCCATGCTGGCCGAGGCAGCACACTGCGGATCCCGTCAGCTGGCATGCTCTGGGAGAAGAGCCTTCTCCACCGTGGCTCCTGCCCCTCGAAACATCTCACCCCCTGAGATGGACTCCCAGCCGCCTGACCTTCCGTAAGAGCCTGAGGGCCCGGTTCTGCCAGATGGCTTGGGGCCCCAGTGGGGCAGCTTCCTGCTGGAGATGGTTGATCGATTAAGAGCTAACACCACTCCCCCTCCTTCTCAATCTTGTGACAATGAGCTTCCTTTGTTTGTATTGCCGTTTTATTGTGCTGGAATATTTATACTTCATGGTTTTAATGTTTTTTATATTGTAAACCGCCCAGAGTTGCTTTGAAATGAGATAGGTAGCAAATAAATTTAATTTAAAAAAAATTCAAGTCCCTTTTGCTTCTGGGTCCAATTGAAGGTGTTGATCATCACCCTTAAAGCCTTTCATGGCTTTCATGGGACCAGGTTATCTAGGCACTGTCTCGCCTCACTGGGACCGCCCCTCCCATCTGCACCGGCAGAAGGGGCTTTCTTGGGACCCCTCCAGCTAAAGAGTTTCGGCTGGGGGAGTCAAGAAGAAGTGCCTTCTCTGCCATGGCCCCCACCCTGTGGAACATCCTTTTCCAGAGACGAGATCTGTTTCCACTCTAGGTTTTAATTTGTTATTTAATTTTAATGTTTTTATTCCTATATTTTTATTCTGTTGTAAGCCACCCAGAATTATCTGGTACAGCGAGATGAGCGGCATATAAATGTATGAAACAAACAATTAATTCCAGGCTTCTAAAACGGCATCTAGTCCAACTATACTGGACCCCCTCCCCCATTCCTACGTTTCCTCTAGTGCCCCTCTCTTTCAGCATACAGCGCCTCATTGCAGTTACATAATTTCCCAGATTTGTTATAAAAAGGTAAGTGACACAAAGTTAGGAAGGATTCGAACCTGAGCCTGGTAAAATTGCCCTCCAGGCAAGGAAGGAAGCCCCCATGGACCTGATTGTTTTTTTCTTTTTCACCTGCAGAGTCTGAGAACCTGGATTACCGGCTGGGAGCCATTCATGCCCTGATTTATAAACTCCCTGACAGGAACCGAGAAATGTCTGAGCTGCTCATCAGGCATCTGGTCCAGTAAGTGGAGGCTGATCTGAAACCCAAGCAAAGGGTCCCTATTGAGCTTTGGCATTCTGGGGGGTTGGGGTGGGGAGGAAGTGGAGTAGGGGCCAAGGATGTCCAAGCCACGTGAGTGGTGAGTGTACTCAGTAGCTGTTCCAGAAATGAGCAGCTTCCTTGTTTTCCAGCAGAGAAAGATAAAGTACGTTGGAATTAGGGATGAAGTAAACACATTTCCATTTGGGGGCTCAAAAGAGTGCCTTTTTTGGCACTAGTGATATTTGTAGAGGTTGTTGTTGTTGTTCAGTCGCTAAGTTGTGTCAGGCTCTTTGCGACCCCATGGACCCTAGCAAGCCATGCTCCCCTGTCTCCCGGAATTACTTGTGGAGGCCCCCCCTTTCGTGGGGTCGGGGTTTTTTTATGCTTTGTTTGATGCCTGGTGTGGTGGCCTCTGTTTGGCCCGCGCTCTCCTTCCTGATTCACTTTCTTCCTGAGAGGAGTCATTTCCACCAGCCGGGTCACCAGGGCTGGGGATGCTGGGCATTATAATCCAACATGGCATAGGATTTCCACAGCAGGTCAGATTAGGTTGTACAGTCCAAGAAGAACATCAAATGGGCAAACATTTTAGATATATCTGAAATACAATTATAGAAAGGGCAGAAAAGTTTTATATGAAAGACAGCAGGGCACTATGGCTTATTAGAAGAAACAGTTGTTTCTCTTCAGAGATATAGTTCAGGTGGATGCATATTTTACCTATTTAAAAAAGCTAACAAGTTGTCAGTGCTGAGATGCCAGCCATTTCCAAGCAGCTAGAAGCCCTTACTACAAGCAGTTCTCAACTTACAGCTACAATTCAATCTTAACCTCAAGTCATTGAGTGAAGCGGTTAAGCAAGACATCATATAGCTGTCCACGCAGTTGCTTTCCTCAACTACTGCAATCCTGGCACTCCCAGTTGCGGTCATTAAGCAGACAAAATCCCAGGAAAGGAGTGTGGGGCGCTTTGGGGGTTGGTGGAGAATCTGGGAGGCTTTGCTCAGAAGCTGAAAATAGCCTTTGTTGAAATCCAGGCAGAATTTTCAGCCCCTGAGAAATAGAGAGGTCTGGCCTGTGCCGGGCCTTCCAGTGCCATTCCCCCACCTGCCTGAGGCACCCACACTCCTCCCCTTATTGTGTTCCCTCTCCACTCTGCTGGGATTTCAGCTCCTGCTCATCTCTGGGCTGCTTGAAAAAACTGCCTGCCAAAGGATGTCAGCTCCCCTTTCTGTGGGGAAGGAGCGCTTTCAGCAGGGTCCAGAAACGATGCTCAAATGATCAGGATCTGAGCATCCCACTGAAGTTCAGGCAGGCAGCTCTTCCAGCCAGCTCCCAGCAAGATGCTGACCAGATACGGACCTGAGTCACTCTCTTCAGGCCATGCTTGAGCTGAAATTAATCTGCATCCTTAATTGGCTCTGGCCATTGATTTCTCCCTAAATCTTGCCTAAGGAAGGTCAAAGGAAGGGGGAGAAGTCCTGAATTCTTTGTCGAGAAAAGATCACAAGGACATCTCAGCCCAAGAGTGATATGGCTTGGAAAAGATTAGTCCAAAAATGTATCTCTATTCCATCTTACCCACTAAAAGATCCAGCCCTTGGACTGAGGAACATTGCCATCTTCGGTCAACCATATCCATCCTCTGTCTCTCATGGTCCTTGCATATCCAAGATATGCAGTATGGTTTAACCATGATTCTTTAAAACAGAATAACAGAAATAGAAGGAACCTTGGAGGACTTCTAGTCCAACCCCCTACCCAAACAGGACACTCTGTATCATTCCAGACAAGTGGCTGTCCAGTCTCTTCTTGAGTCTCCAGTGATGGAGCACCCACAACTTTTGAAGGCGAACTGTTCTACTGCTTAACTGTTCTCACTATCAGGAAATTTCTCTTTAGTTCTAGGTTGCTTCTGTCCTTGATTAGTTTCCATCCATTGTTTCTTGTTTTGCCTTTTGGTACTTTGGAGAATAGGGTGATCCCCTCAATTTTGTGGCAGCTCCTCAAATATTGGAAGGTGGTTATCATGTCATCCTTCATCCCTCTTTTCACTAGACTAGACATATCCAATTCGTGCAACTGTTCTGCATATGTTTTAGCCTCCAGCCCCCTAATTATTCTTTTTGCTCTTCTCTGGACTCTTTCCAGAGTTTCAACATCTTTTTTTATATTGTGGTGACCAAAATTGGATGCAGTATTCCAGGTGTAGTCTTACTAAGGCTTTTTAAAGCGGTACTAACACTTCACCTGATCTTGATTCTATCCCTCTGTTAATGCAGCCTAGGACTGCATTGACTTTTTTGGTAGTTGCAGCACATGGTAGGCTCATATTTAAGTGATTGTCCACTAGGACTCCTAAGATCCCCCTCACAGTTACTGCTATTGAGCCAAGTTTCATCTAAACTGTGCCTGTACATTTGGTGTTGACTATTCCTATCAGGTTAGTGTTGTCTGAAAATTTGATGAATTCCCTATCTATCCCTTCATCTAAATTGTTTATGAAAATATTGAAGAGTCCAGGGTCTAAAACAGAACCTTTGGGGTGTCTTACTCCTTCCTTCCTTCCTTCCTTCCTTCCTTCCTTCCTTCCTTCCTTCCTTCCTTCCTTCCTTCCTTCCTTCCTTCCTTCCTTCCTTCCTTCCTTCTAGATGTAGTTCCATTAATGACTACATGTTGAGTGCATTTTGTTAGCTAGTTACAAATCCATCTGGTGATGATGTTGTCTATCCCACATTTTTCTAACTTACCAAGAAGTAGGTTGTGATCTGCTTTGTCAAACGCCTTTGTTGTTGTTAGTTGCAAAGTCAGTCTGACCCATCGCAACCTCATGGACAATGCTCCTCCAGGCCCTCCACCATCTTCTGGAGCTCATGCAGGCTCACGCCTATTGCTTCAGTAATTCCATCCAGCCACCTCACTCTCTGTCGTCCCTTTCTTCTATTGCCCTCAATCTTTCCCAGCATTAGGCCCTTCTCCAGTGAGTCCTTCCTTCTCATTAGGTGGCCAAAGTACTTGAGTTTCAACTTCAGGATCTGGCCTTCTAAAGAGCAGTCGGGGTTGATCTCTTCTAGGACTGACCGGTTTGAACGCCTTGCAGTCCAAGGGACTCGCAGGAGTCTTCTCCAGCACCATAGTTCAAAGGCCTCAATTCTTTGGCGCTCAGCCTTTCTTATGGTCCAACTTTCACAGCCATACATTGCAACTGGGAAAACCATGGCCTGGACTATACGCACTTTTGTTGGCAGGGTGATGTCTCTGCTTTTTAGTATGCTGTCTAGATTTGCCATAGCTTTCCTCCCCAGGAGCAAGCGTCTTTTAATTTCTTGGCTGCAGTCCCCATCTGAGGTGATCTTGGAGCCCAGAAAAATAAAATCTGTCACTACCTCCATTTCTTCCCCATCTATTTGCCAGGAATTGAGAGGGCCGGATGCCATGATTTTGGTTTTCTTAATGTTGAGTTTCAAGCCAACTTTTGCACTCTCCTTCTTCACCCGCATCAAGAGGCTCTTTAGTTCCTCTTCACTTTCTGCCATTAGAGTGGTATCATCTGCATATCTTAGGTTGTTGATATTTCTCCCGGCAATCTTAATTCCAGCTTTTGTTTCATCTAGCCCTGCCTTTCTCATGATGTGCTCTGCATATAAGTTAAATAGGCAGGGCGACAGAATACAGCCTTGCCAGACTCCTTTCCCAATTTAGAACCAATCAGTGGTTCCGTGTTCAGTTCTCAATGTTGCTTCAATGAGTCACGTGCCTTACTGAAATTCAAATATACTATGTCCACGGCATTTTCTGGTCCATTATTTTTTTGCTGGTCCACTTTGTCAAAGAATGAAACAAAATTTATTTGTCATGATCTGTTTTTGAGAAACACATGTTGGCTTCTGGTTATTAGTTTGCTCGCAGGTCTATTGTTTGATTATCTGTTCCAGGATCTTTCCAAGTATTGATGTTAGGCTGATTGGTTAGTAATTTCCTGGATCTGTTTTTTTTTTTTCCCCTCTCTCTTCTTTGAAGATGGAACCAATCTTTTGAAGAAGGAATCACAGTTGGCTTGGTTCTCTCATAACATTAAGTAGTAAATCATGGTTAGGATTTACATGGTCTGACTCCTTGCATTTGGCTCAGCCAAAACCCAGCAAATTACATGCAAACCTAGCTATTTTCCAACTGCCCATAGGACAGCTTTAGAAGACGTCTTCTGGAAAACAAAATTGCCAATCCATTTAGCCAAGATTTCTTTCAGGGGTTTCTTTTCCAACCTAGTTTCTTTTGGCTCTCCCTGTATGTGTCTTTTCTGCTGAATTCAGGAAGGGAAGTCCAGCCCTTGTCTCTAACCCTCTGGGGTTCTGTGATTGCTCAGCAATTAGTGGCGCTGGTTTCTTCAGTGCAAGCTAGTCTTGGAGCCTGTGCAGGATTTCCATTTGGCACTCCTTCCTAACGCCGCCTGTTTCTCCCCTCTTGGGAAATGGTGCTGATCTTCTGTTGTGCCCTGTGGCTGTGCTTTGCATCGTGTGGCTTTCTTGCTTTCATCAAGGTGGGGAGTAATGTGAGATTGAAGGCTCACATGGGCAAAAGGAATTATTCAGAAGCTGTGACTTTATGCCACGCCTGATCCCAGCCTACCTGGGATAAACATCTGCAACAGATGAGGTTGTTGTAATTCTAGAAAACCCTAGATCCAACTAAATGGCTTATTCAAAATAGAACCAGCTAATATTTGGGTGGGAGACTACCAGGAAACTGTGTGAGTTGGATGAGAAATCAGAAGAAGCACTCCAGAAGAAGCAGGGACAAAGCGCTTCCGTATTCTTGCTATGGGAACTGATGCGTAAGCAGAGAAGGGGTCTTAGAAGCAACCCACTCCAGCACCACCGGATGGACTGCCGTCTGAGCAAGCAAGAAGGTAGGGCAAAATGGTAAACGGCAACACAGCTGCTATCACTCTCTGGAGAGGAGGCGATGGAATTACCACCCTCTTCCAATGCTAGAGAGTAGAGAGTAGAGCTGAGGCGCTGTGTAAGACTTGCACCTCCATATGAACCACACTGGGGCTGTCTTATTAAAAGGGAGCTGCCAGCACCGGCTCTATGTTGGCAGCAGGAACTCATTAACCCCCACTGCACTTGCCTTGACTTGTGAACTTCGCAACTCTGACTTTGAACCTGGACTGGCTGATGAATCTGCTCTGAGCTTCAACCCTCAGATTCCACCTGAGTTCTCGCCTGCATGCGTCAGGCTGGCCCCAGTCTGATCCCTTAGGGAAGTCTTAACTCTCAGCTCCATTTGATTGAAGTGAAAAGGCACTTTTACTAAGAGATGCTGACTGCAGTAAAGCCAAGCTGAATCTAAAGTTCCTGCATGCCAATACAGGACTAAACACCTGGTTTCCCCTAGCCCTCCCACTGTGATCCGTCTGTGCACAGCCAATCCAGCACCGCCAAAATGTTATGGGAAATGCTGGTGAAATTCCACTCTCGGGGCAAGCGGCCTTGAAGGATGCCAGGGTGCCAGCGCAAACCGGATTCCAATTGCCTCTGTTCTTCCTCAACTGTCAGTTCCACCTCCCAATAGCCCCCCATAAAGGTATACAGCAAATTGCCCATTTGTCCCCCTCTCCCCATTGATGAGAGAATGCTGGCAAAGTGCCGAGCCAAATGGGGGGGGGGGATCTGACCTCAGGCTGCTTTGATTGGAAACTGTTGTAAACCAAACTTGCTAACATTTGGGGGGTAAACATGTCTCTAGACTTCAAGTGTGAGTGCCTGCAAGCCTCATTTACTAAAGAGAACAAAATAGTTGTTTGTTTATTCGTATGTGCTTGGCTTGGCGCCAGGCAGAAATGACCCAGATGTGTCTTTGTAGCCAGCTTGGATCTATCACATGAGATAACAAACTTTGTTAAAATATGCCCCGTTTCTCAAATTCAGGAGAATTTCATCTTTAGCTTGATTTAATGTGTTCCCCACAGCTGTCCTGGAAGGGAAATACAGAAAAACCCCACATGAAACCCGATGCTGCCCTTGTGATATGGGTGCCATAGAAACCACAGCCCGTGTTCTTCTCTACTGCCAGTACTACAGGGACATTCTCCCCCAGTTGATTCTCCCTCTTTTATTTAAATCTCCGGGGCATTCTACGCTGTTAAATAACCAAGAAAAAATATTTGTTTAAAAGCAGCAAAAAGTTTGCTATATTATGTGTAAACTTCGCCCACAAATCATTGTCAATAGTTCTTGTTGCTCAGGGATAGTTTTGTGTTGTTCATTGTATGGATTGTATTTTTATTGGCCAACAATTGAAATAAAGTTCTTTGTCTGTCTGCCCTGATTCTCTTTCTAGCTTTATTTGCAAAGCATTTTGTAAATAGCCTTGTTTCAGAAAGAAGTCATGTTTTGAATTTAAGGGGACCAGAAAGACCACAGAAGGGGAAAGGATGGGTGCTCCCCTCTCAAGGTCTTCTTGATGCTCAATTTGCTCACTGCCATTTTACTTCCTTTTTTTGCATGCACACACTCATGCACATACGCAGACAGAAATGTGGCTACTTTTCTCCAATAAGAGGGAACGTTTTCTGTCCCAGATCAGTGGAGCCTTAATGACATAAATCGTTCAAAATATTTGTGTGTTTATACATGACCAGATTGTGACTCTGCTGAAAGAGTGAGTTGGGACCCTCAGTGGACCCCCTCCCAGGCACGACAAGGGTGCTTTTGCTCTGAGTAAACATTTGTGCTTACCGTTGGCTTCAGCTGCAGTAGAAAATGTTTCCTGTTTGCATACACTTATATGGAAGAAATTAAAATGGCTGAATTCATTTCCCCTGGACAAAATTGAGTGGTGGTCTAAGATCCAGCCAGGCCCTGCTGACTCGGGAGGTGTTTGTTCTCTCCTGGGCCCACCAAGCCAGCTGTACCAGCTCTGGCTCCGTCCTCTGTCAGCTGGCCAGGGCAGCTGGGTGACCCGGCCTCTGGCATTTCCTTGGTCCTGACTTTCCTTCGTCTTTTATTTGTAGGGGGCAGTTCCAGGCCCTCCTTCAAGGCCCATGGAGTTCCCCATCTGCCTGCTCTCTGTCTCTTGTGCCCTTCCCTTTGCTGAACCGCCCTTTGTTTTTTCTTCTGACAGCGTGTGTGAGCACAGCCGGGAGAATCTCATGTCCCCCTCCAACATGGGGGTGATCTTTGGCCCTACCCTCATGCGTGCACAAGAGGACACGGTTGCAGCAATGATGAATATTAAGTTCCAGAACATCGTGGTGGAGATTCTCATCGAGCACTTTAACAAGGTACACAGGAGCTCCTGGCTGGCCTTTCCCAGACGGCTTTTCGGTGATGCTTGCAGGGCCTCCCCAAAACATAAACAGAATTAGGAAAAGGCAAATAAACCACGGGAAATGTGACTGAGCTAGCAGAGACGGTTCCAGAGTCAGAGGGGAGCCAGCTGCATTTGGGGAAGGGAGAGGTGGCCAGCAGACCCAACTGGAAAGATAGTTGGGTGAAGACCAGGAGGCTGGAGGCAGGGCTTGGTTCATGGAGAAGCTGGGCCACTCCTTTTGGGCAAGCAGGGTCAGCCTTGCCAGAACACCTGTAGGATGCATCGAGAAGCTGTCTAAAAAATAGATTTCTTTCAAAAGGAAAGACCAGGGTGATTTTGGCCTTTCTTATATTTCTATTTTATGCAAGAGTAGTTGCAGGTTGCCTTGCAGGTGTTTCCGGTGCACTTGGCGAATGCAGCTGCCACTGGGAGTGCTGGGAATGCAGCCATGGAGCCAGGCCTTTGCTCTGGCTGAGCCAGCGGAATTCGATCCACTTGGGGACTCCTCTGCAAGCAGTGATGGGGGGGGGGGATTTTCAAAATGGCATTCAAATATGACCATACCTGATTTGTAGTGTGTGTGTTTTCAGCCCATCAATCCCCCTTTTAAACTGGTTTTAATCAATTTCCAACTGAAAACTGCTGGAATGCAGTTTATTTTTAGCACCTCAACAGGGTGCTCTCAGGAGACTTTCTGGGGTAGGTGGGCAAGCCCCCCCAGGATCCCCCACCTTGTTTGGAGGCTTCAGGCTTGGATCAGGGAGCAGAAGCCTTTTTCTTGCCCATAACTTCTCTGGGTGTTTCCTTGCTTTTACAATTAAAACCATGGAACAATATTCTCCTATTCAGAACCAGGCTGACTTACAATTTGATGAAACCTTTATTTTGTCTTAGTTAAATTGCATAGTTTTAGGTGATATTTTATTACTACTAGAAAGCATAATATGATAAGACTGTAGGGTTTAATAGATAATTATGACAATTATCTACATAATCGTTACGTTGTTTTAATTTTTTAACCATAAAAAAGTCTGGCAATTATGGTATAAAACAGCAGCTCTCAACCTTTGTGTGACGGCAACCTCCGTCACACGGATGGTGCGGCGCGCATGCGTGGCACCGCCCCCATGCGCGGCGCGCATGTGTGGCACCACCCCCTGAGGGGGAAAAATGGCGGATCGCGTTGTTTGGCGACCCCTGTAAAATGGTCGTTTGACCCCAAATGGGGTCGCGACCCATAGGTTGAGAACCGCTGGTATAAAACATCTTTTTTTTTCAAATGAAGAGATTTCCTGATTTGCTTATAAGAGAATATAATATAATATTACGAGTCTGAGTTTTCCAAAGATTAATTGACTGAATGCCCATGCAATGACTGTGAAAGCAAAACCAACGTTTACCCAGATGGACATGCGGGACATGTGAGCTACTTTAATTCACATTTCTTGAAACAGTGGCTTCTGCTCCCTAAATCCCCATGCCAGGCCAAGGTCATAGTTGCTTTAATATGATCCTAATGAGACTGGCTAATGAAACTATTTCCTTCCATGATTTCAGCTTCAAATCATTCTCTTCTCCCTTCTCTTGGGAACTTTCAACAATATGTCCAGAGATTTAAGAAGGTTAGCCACAGTTTTGTTCCCATTTGATTGGCTCTAACAAAGGACCTCCCCAAGCATATGGATATTTTCTTACAGATCAGCACATCTATTCTGTTTCACTTCTGGTTCTTCATTTAAAAGTGTCTGTTGCTATCAAAAACAGGATTATTTCTAATTCAAAACTAGTCATTTATTTGAGATGTTTGTACTTCTGAAAATATGAAACAAGGAGGAGACCAGCAGCTGGTCTGCTGAGACGGCCAGTTGCAATCTTGGCTTTATAGCTGCACCTGGAAGTTGTTGATGGGATGCAAGGACCATCAACAGAGTTCAAGGCCTAGCTGCCTTTCAGTTAAGCAAGGGTGACCCAATTTTCCACTGAAATAAAGTAACTCCGAAACAGCTACAATAGCTGAACGCTTTGTTTTCAGATAAGAGGTCCAAGCTTTGGCTTCAGAAAGGTTTTCCATGATTTCTCTGTGTCTAAAGTTTCACAGGAGATTCGAGCCAGCAGAGGGAGAAGAAAATTGTCTGCTGCTCACTGATCTCCAGAGTGAAGTCTTTTAATTAAAAAAGAAACTGTGTCTTTTTGGCCTTCAATTTCTGCTATGATAAGGTTAAGCTAGTAACATTTTATTAGGCTGGGTGATTGTTAAATGTAGTTCTGAAGTTGATGTTTCAGTCTGCACATAAGCAAACATTCCAAATGAATTTTTAAGCAGGTATATAATTTGTGTGTGAATTATGAAGACTCAGAGGACAGAGGAAAATGTTCACTGGTATGGATAATTATTGCTCTGGCAGATTTAAACATGTACGCTAAAATTAAAATTAAAAAGCTAATCCCACAGGAAACAGTATGTGGTGTTACACAGTCCTTGCCCTGGAAAGTGGAGATTAGATCAATATCACCTCTCTTATGAATCATATAAATATAATTTTTAATATAAATATGACTTTGTGGTGCAAATTCAAAGTGTCTTTTGTCTGGGGGTGGGGTCACTTGAACGATTGCCCCCTTGTCAGTCTGGATTTCAAGCTGGAAAAGTCTTTGTGATCTTGGTCGTTTGGATTCACATTGGTATCCAGGGAAGCACATTCTTTGTAAGAAATACATTAGAATTCTGTCTATGGATTGCATGAATTTTGCTCCAAGAAACGGGGAATATTTTGGTTTGATAAATGGCACTATTTCTTGCACATCCTGTTGATCTCCATTTTTCTACATAATATTGTATTTTTTGAGCCCAATTAGCATGAAATCTATCCACGTATACATGCACAGATTTAGAGACTGTTACATTTATCAGTACTGCAGTATTTAAAGATTTGGGCTGAAGGGGATCTGAAATAACAGTAACAGAAATATGTGGCATTGTTTCAAATGTTGATTCAGAGGTTATGCAAGTCCATCTCAATCTGTGTTGCTACCTCATTCTTTAAGAAATTAAGGGGTTGGTGCATTTCCCTCTTCCCAATGTGTGTTAGGGTTCGGTCATTTAAATCACAGCTCGCTATTATTTCTGAATCAGATAACTGTGATAAAATATTATTATCCCTCTGACACCTCTGATTTGCAAGCTGCACTGGCTTCCAGTTTGTTTCGTAATGTGAGTCAAGGTGCTAATAACCGTCCAAAGCCCTGCCTGGTTTCTGACCTGCTGGGACCAGACCTGGCTCCCTTCCAGGAAGGCATGTCATCTGTTGGGACCCAGGAAGCTCCCCTTCTGCCGCAGTGCCTACCCTCTGGCATGGGGTCCCCCCTGAAACCCAGACAGTTCTCGTCCTGAGGGCATTCCAGAGACCCTAAAGGCCTGCCCGTTCTGCCAGGCCTGGGGCTAGGCTGGATGGGGCTTGCTCACTGAACGCTCAATCTTGGTTGGAAGTTCTCATTAATTGTTCTTCCTTCTTCTCTTCTCTTCTAGTTTGATTTTGTTGGTTGCTGTATTATGCTATTATTATAGTCTGGTGTATTGAGGGGTACTCCAGGTTGTTTGGAATCAAGTGGCAGTGAATCAAATAGCGTGAATACACAATGAATAATGTTCCTATTGGGTGTTATATAAAGAGGAAGGAGAGGCAGGAAGTAAATTGTGTAAAAGAGGGGCTTTCTTCAGCCATCTAATCATTCAATTGCAGTGGCTTTGTAGATATATATATATATAGAGAGAGAGAGATCATTTATAGAGATCATAAAGAAACAAAACTTACAGCCCAGCGACCTACTAGTGAGCTTCGATGTCATATCCCTCTTCACACAAGTGCCTATCAAAGAAGCCTTGACAGCTATCCAAAACAAATATAACCCCCCCAAACACATCTTAGATCTGACCAACCACTGCCTATCCAACACATACTTCATCTATAATGGACAAAAATACAAACAAACAGAAGGAGCACCCATGGGATCACCCCTCTCACCTGTCATTGCAACCTCTACATGGAACACTTTGAAACCCAAGCTCTAGAAAAATCTGATCACAAACCCAAACTCTGGCTCAGATACGTAGACGACACCTTCATAATCTGGCCACATGGGAAAGAAAAACTGGACAACTTCCTCACACACCTCAACAGCCTACACCCCAAAATACAGTTCACCATGGAAACAGAAGCTAACAACCAACTTCCCTTCCTGGATGTCTTAGTCTACAAGAAATCCAATGGCTCCCTAGGACACACCATCTACCAGAAGAAAACACACACAAACCGCTATCTGCACGCTCTCTCACACCACCACCCAGCACAGATCAACTCTGTAGCCAAGACACTCATCTCCAGAACAAAACGCTTAGCTGACGAACAACACCTAAAACCCGAACTACACACTCTCACCAATGTACTAACATCCAATGGATTCCATAGAAATAAGATTACAAACCTAATCCAAAAAGAAACCCCCACTAAAATCCAAGACAAAGAACAAGAAAACGGCAAAGCCATCCTCCCATACATAAAAGGCATCACAGACAGAATCAGTAAGATCCTCCATAAACACAACATCAAAACAGCATTCTGCACAAACAGAAAAATATCCACCATCCTTAGAAACCCCAAAGATAAAATTGAATTAGAAAATCAAGGAGTATACGAAATCCCATGCACCACTTGTCCCACCACATACATCGGACAAACCAACAGAAGAATAAGTGCACGCATTGAAGAACATAAGAACTCAATCAAAAAAGAGGAACCAACATCTTCCCTGGTCCAACACCTTAAAGCTACAGGACATGAAATTGACTTTAAAAATACCAGAACCATTGCCAAAAGTGAACATTTTAATAACAGAATAATCAGAGAAGCCATCGAGATAGAAAAACGCCCACACAGCATGAACAAGCGAGATGATACCTCCCGCCTACCAGCC